ACATCTCAATGCGCTTCACGGGGATACACTGTAAAGTGAATTGACTGTGTATTTCGTGGGCGAAACAAAATACAGCATTACATGGAACAATTGTCTATTCATCCTCTCTCTTCCTCCCTCCCCCCCACTCCTCCATCCCACATCGCACATGACTGGAGAGTTGTAACCAGGAGATTGGGACGGCACATGTTGACTCACAGTAGTCGAACAATGACCCACAGTACACTTCACCAACTGCAAATACAAGTGTGTGATCTCCAACCTCTCAGATTCATTCTGGGACCTTGTGCCAAAGAACTAGAGGCCACGGGATCTGTGTAGCTGCTTCCCCTCACTGGCTGAGAGATCATTTTTATATATTATATAACCCTAATCCTTTCACTCTCTGGCACCTCCATACCTCTCTGATCTCCTCACTCCCCAATCCACCACCCGGCCTCTGCTCGACTGGCACCGGCCTCCTGTCCCTCGCACCCTCCGTCCCACCATTGGCGGTCGGGCTTTCAGCCACTAATAATAATAATAATAATCCTTGCATTTGATATAGCGCTTTTCACGTCTTCTCAAAGCGCTTCACAGAATAGACTGTAGAGTGAATTGACCGTATATTTGTATATATCGCGGCAGCCAATTGCGCACAGCAGTGTGTGTCCCACAAACAGTCGTGGATTGAAAATGACCAATATATTATTGTTCTGTTTTGGAGGGATTATTATTAGGTGTGTGGAGTAAGGAAACTTGCCCAAGGTTTGGCCCGGCCGGGAATTGAACCCAGGTGTCTCGCTTGCAAAGCAAGTGCTCTAACCAGTGAGCTTCAGGACTCTAGCAATCACTAAGCCCCGAAACTCTGGAACACTCTCCCTCAGTCCCTCGCCTCGCCCTCTCCTTCCCCTTTCTCAAGTCCCGCCTGAAGACCTTCCTCTTCGACCATGCTTACGGCCACCTCCCCCCTTCTCCCCCTCCCCCACCCCCCACCGGCTCGGAGTCAGGCTCCGCCACTTCTAAGCGTGGAGGGTGCTGTATAAGCACAAATTGTTGTTGTTGTTGTGGATGTTCAATGATATTAATCCTTGTTATAGCGCATGGCCGGGACGTTGGTCCATGAAGGGTGAGAGCGGGGGCGGGGGAAGGGGGCGGGGGGGAAGGGGTGGGGGGAGGACGGAGCTTGGATCTTGCCCAGATGCAGTTAGATTTAATGCTGTTATAAATGAATAGGTTTATTTTTGCTATGGTGCATTTCCTGACCTGTAAAGTCAGCAATCAGAGGCTCAGGCTCACACGCAGGCAAAGAGCGGGTACTGCTGCTCGTTGTGACACTGCTGACTGAGGCTGGCAAGGCTTGGCACCTTCCCAAAGTGACTCCTGGTCCAACAATCCCTGGCAGATGGCTCCAGTGCTTCCTGCCTTGTCAAACGTGGCATGGGTTTAGCAGAGAGAACAGTAGGAAGAGGGAGGGGAGTGGGGAGGGAGGCAGGAGGATGGAGGGGAAAGTGTCACTCTTTTTCCCCCCCACTTTTATCAGTGCCCTTTTTCTGTCCTGGTGGATGGGGGAAAAAATTAAGCTCCGGCACGCCAAGGATTTATGATATTGACAGCTGTAATTATGATAATAAATCCATAATAATCTGCTCGCATTTGAATGATGCGTCGTAATTACTTTCAGCCTGGCTCAGCCACCGGCCCGCGTGCTCAGCCTGCGGGTCAAAGAGTTTGTGGGTCTGTAACCCCCAATCCGCCTCGTCAGGTCCGGAGTGAGCGGGGGAGAGAGAGAGCGCCCGCCCGCCCCATTGTCGGAGACGCCGTCCTTCCACTGAGATGTTAAACCCTGGTCTCCATCTGTGCCAGTGCAGGTGGACATTAAAGATCCCGTTCCTTTCTCTCCCGGTCTCTTGACCGAATATTCCCTTGATCCCCACACCCCCTCCGATAAAACACAGAGATACACAGACGCGCACAGAGATACACAGACGCGCACACACAGATACGCACACACAGAGCAACATAACATCCAGAGGGAAGCAAAGACAAAAAAGACATCCTGTTGCATTTGTCAACCAGATGCCCCCCAGCCCCACCACCTCCCCCCGCCCACCACTCAGCACAGTAAACAAATCATGCACAACACCCAGCGCCTCCTGATAAGAGCTTATCGGTCGGGGAGCGAGGGCTGCTTGATGACAGATTCCGTTTCAAAGCCACTTCTTCTTTGTGGTAAATGGTGCAGCTGAGCTATTTGCAAACTGTCTAATAGCAATCGCACGGCCAACCCTCCCTCCCTCCCCCGCTCCCTGCACAATGTGCTGCCTCAGTGCAACATGAAAGACTGTGGTTCGACTTCCTTCAGCCCCGGACACGCCAGCTCTTTATTTTGCCCGTTGCAGCACATTCGGCATGAGTTTGGTTTGACCCTCGGCTCTTGTGGTGAAACACGTGACCACGAGCTTGGGGACGTGTTGTTGTAGATTCGCAGACAGGACGTTTTTTTTAAAAAAAATGGGGTTGAGGAAACAAAGAAACAGCCACAGACTTAAGAGGCACGCAATTAATAAACACCCTGGCTCTCAAAGTGCTGCACGGGGAACTGCTGTCAAGTGTAGTGACTGTGTCATCTGTAGGCAGACTCAGCAGCCAATTTGCTCACAATTCAAACAGCCTATTAAAGCTTGACCAACCTGTCCACTCCCTCCACTCGGCTTCAGTCTTTCTGCCCCCACCCTCTGGAACTCACTCCATCCCGGAGCCCCTCGGCCTCGCCCCATCCCTTGCCTCCTTCAAGACCCATCTCAAGACCCTCCTTTTCGACTGCACCTTCAGTAAGCTTCACTCCTCCAACCTCCCTCGCCCTCCACCCCTCTCTGATCCCAACCCCCAGCTCAGGTGCAAACCCCAGCGTCTTGGGACACCCTTCCGACGTGAAAGGCACCGTAATTTGTTGTGATTAAGTGAGCGAGCGACTTTATCTCGAGGATTGTTGGCCAGGACACCAAGAGAGAGAAACCTCTCTTCTCTTTTTCCAATAGGACCGAGAGATTGTTAACATCCACTGCAACAGGGAACAGACGAGAGCTCTGTTCAACGTCTTATCGGAGGGACAGTAACAATGCTGTGCTCGCGCCCCCCCCCCCTTCCGCCCTCTCTCCTGAGCATCAGCCTGGGCCCAGACTTCGACGTCGTCTACTTAACACATCCGAGGCTACAAAGAAACTAAAAATAAGAAGATAAATAATCAATGGATTGCTGTCATGCCTGGAGGACAGCTAATGGAGAACACTAACCCCAGACTGGGTGGATGATTCCCCCGCTTCAAGAATTCAAGAATTTTCATATAGATTTAAAGCAACTAAAAAAAATTAAACTTCTCTTTCCAGATTTTCTCCCTGCCCCTTGAAGCGCTTGATTCATTTAACCCTCTACTAGACGGATGGGGGAACCTGGGTCTTAATGTAATGTCTCCATGCAATTTTTATTCGGTCAGCTGGGTGTCTGACACACGCAGAAACCTTGCTTGAGAGTCTCCCAACCAAACTGAGAATTTGGAGTCGGCGGTGTAGGGAAGCGGAGCGAGAGAGAGAGAGAGAGAGCAGGTCGAAGAGGTAGGGAGGGTGGCTCACAGACTGGGCAGGAACCGTGGGATCTTTGTGGTGTGGTTATTGCGAAATGCACATCAGGGCGAAACACAATTGGAGAAATCTGAAAAGAATCTGCAGCATTGTAGGGGTTATCATGCCATGTGATCACCCTGTTCCCATTTGCCTGGTTTCTCTCCCCCTTCCCCTCCCCTATTTATTCAATCAATGCTGTGTCTCATTTTGTTGTTAGTCCAGGGGAAAAAAAAAGCTTTTGAAGTTCGCTTTAATATGCCTGATCTGATCAGGAAGGAGACAGCTTTAAATGTTATTTTTTTTTGCACTTGTTACTGCTGTTGTTATTCATTAATCTCTGCAGCTACAATACTGTATTTAAAAAAAATGACTCCCTGGCCTTAGCTCCTAGAAAAATGACAATCCTGTTAACATTGAGTCGCTTTCTCCCTCCCTCCCTCCCTCTCTCGCTCTCTCTCTCTCTATTTCTCTATTTTAATGCAAATCACAATGATTTGTTGGGAGGCAGAACAAGAGGTAGAGCCACAGATCGCCGAGGAATTAACACGCCCTGCCAAATGGGCGGAAATACACCCTCTCTCAGTCACTCACACACTCACTCGCTCTATTTCTCTATCTGTGTTGTACCCACGTTGCTTTGATTGACACCTCTCCAGTCGGCGCACGGCGCGCCTGCGCGTCGCCGGTGCACGCCGGGAATTGTAGTCCCCGGGCCCGCCGCGCCTGCGGCTCCCGGAAGCCCACGCGCGCGGGGGGGCGGCTACCTGTCAATCAGCGGGCGGCGCCGGGGCCGGCGATTGGCCGGGGCGCGGAGTCGGTGGGCGGGGCCGGGCGGGTGGTGGTGGGGGCGGGAGGGGGGGGAAGCCCCACGTGGGGACCTCGGCCGCTGATTGGCCGAGACACGCAATGTATCCAAGCGAATGTATCCAATTGAGGAACTTCCGCGCTGTTGTAGCCAAAGAGGTTCATTGAGTAAAAAAAAGCGGTGAGTGAGTGAGTGAGTGGATCAGATCACTTCTATTTTCTTCTACATCCGCTTTCTGTTGTTTTTTTTTCGCCCCCCCCTCCTTTTTTCCCCCCTCTTTTCCTCCTCCTCCCCCCCTCCTCCTTGTCTCCTTCCTTTCCTCACTCACCACCTTCTCTCTCTCTCAAGCAAACGGCCTCTTTTTATCTCTCGCGCTTTCTTTCTCTCTCCCTCTCTCCCCCCCCCCCCCCCCCAAAAAAAAGAGAGAGAGCGGCGATCGCCGGGGTCTTACTTGGCAGCTTGTGTTGTGTCACACATTTACAGACACGTTTTAGATCCGATCCCCTCTTTGGTGGTGGTGGTGGTGGGGGGGGAGTGGACTCTGTGTGTGTGTGTGTGTGTGTTTCCACCCCTCCTCCACTCCTCTTTCCCTTCCCCCTCTCTCTCTCTCTCTCCTTTTTTTTCCCATGGACACCACAACACATCGTGTTGTTTTCTTTGTACGTTTTCTCGGGGATTACAGCCGCAGTGACTCCCGGTGACCATCGTCAAGTCTCTTGGGTTTCTCTGACTGAGAGCCTAAAATTTTTTTTTTGTTTCGGAGGAGTCGGCTATGAGATCCGAGCGGCTCGACTGCTCGGGATGGTTTTGTGGTGAACCAACCCAGAGAAACACTACTGTATTTCCTGTGCAGTTTCCAATCTCGAAAGTTACCACCGACTGAGTGGCTGTTTGCATTTTATTGCTTTCCCACGAGTCGGTCCGCTTTGGGGGTCTGGCTCTCTCTTTTTTTCTCCCCCCCTCTCCCCTCTCCCCTCTCTCTCTCTCTCTCTCTCACTCTCTCTCTCTCGCCTGTCGAGAGATTTCCTTTTGAACAACCGTGAAGAGAGTGTCTTGTGTTGAAGAAAGAGAGAGAGAGAGAGAGAGACCACAGTCGAGGATGTATCCACAAGGCAGACATGCAGTAAGTACCAGTTAACTCGAACAGCATTTCAAATCGAATTACACAGCAACGGGTTTGGGGGAGGGGTGGGGAGGAGGGGGGGGGGGGGTATGTCTTCTGTCTCTGATGCATTTTAATTATCTTTATATATTCTTTAATGACCCGGTGTTTCATTAGAGGAGGTCGAGGTTCCCATTTTATTGCTTAACGAGGAACACAGCACTCGCACAGAAAAGGAAATAAGATTTTTTTTTTGCTTTGAGTTTGGTGCTCTCCTGATGGATCGTTATTATTTTTTTTTGTCTTAATAATTGATGATAATAATCCTCGCATTTTGTGGCAGCGCCTTCTCGCGTCTCCGGGACGTCTCAAAGCGCTTCACAGAACAGACTGTGAAATGGAGTGACTGTGTATTTTGGTTACCGGGCGTTTTGTTGATGGTTTGAGTTGTAATGGAGGGTGTGGGGGTGTGGGAGGGGGGGATTTGTAAGTGTTAACGAGTCGAGTTTGTAGGTTAGACACAGAGTAATAAAGCAGTTGAAATTCTTTCCCTCCCGCTCCCTTCCCCCAACATCAGTAAATAAAAACGTTTGTGGGTTACTTCTGTCTCTTGGGGATACGATTTAATGTGGGGAAGGGAGAGGGGGAGGAGGGGAGGATGGAGGGGGGGAGGAGGGGAGGATGGAAGGGGGGGAGGAGGAGGATGGAGGGGGGGGGCTGGGGATTTTCTGATCTCTTAAGATCCAACACAAGGGGCCTCAGGGTGGTGTGAAAAAGAAGCCTTTGCAAATGTATGCAAATGCCGGTGTTATTTCCTCCAGTGTGTGTGTGTGTGTGTTTGCCATTTTATTTATAAACTGCTGGTCTGAGATCCAGCAGGTGGCATTAGTTAGTGACATTTCCGCCGAGGTTTGGTTTGCTCTCGGTTCCACCTCTCTTCCCTTAATCCTCCTGTTTGCCAGGAGGAAAAATCATCATCATCATCATCACAATAATCCTTGCATTTGATATCGCGTCTTTCCGTGTCTCGGAGAAGTCTCACAGTGCGTCTACGGACTGTACATTCTGAGGAGTGGATTGACTGTAAATCCTGTGGGCGAAACCCAGAAAACAGTACTTTTATTTAATACCGCACATGTAAAGTAACGCCGAGACTTGCAGCAGCCACACAACATTTTAAAATATATATATCTATATATTTGGTCACTCAATTCACCACTGTTGTGGGACTCTGCATTTTGCCCACAAAGTACACAGTCAGACCAATTTACAGTATATTCTGTGAAGTGCTTTGAGACGTCTCAATGACGTGTGACAAGACCCTGTATCAAATGCGAGGATTATTATAATATTATTGTTATTATTATTACTCGGCTCGGTTACAGACTGACACTTGTTGCCTTGTCGGTTTCCCTGGTCCTTGTCATCTCCAGTCTAGAAGATGTACAATGTAATTCCGTCTAAGCAAGTGTGGAGCTTTGGGCGGTTGGAGGATGTAGAGAGAGAGAGAGAGAGGCTGATCATCATCCCTGATCCGATCAGCTCCGTCTGAATGTCTTAAGACGTCTTAAGATAATAATCCCTCCAAAACCAAAAACAATAATAAAAATTGGTCATTTTCAATCCATATGACTGTCTGCGGGACATTGCTGTGCGCAATTGGCCGCCGCGTTCGCCCACAAATATACAGTCAATTCACTTTACAGTGTGTTCTGTGAAGCGCTTTGGGACGTCCTCCCGACGTGAAAAGCGCTCTATCAAATGCGAGGATTATTATTATTATTATTAAGATCAGAGAAGGATCCTTTGTTGCCAAAAGAATGCACTTGCAACAGATACATATTTTTTTAAATAAAAAACAATTTCCTTTTGCTGGTCAAGAAACTAACACCAGCGAGAAGTCTGTCGGCTACACTGAACCCAGAGAGTTTGTTTGTTTGTTTATTTATTAAGGTTTTTTTTTTTGGGGGGGAGGGCCAGGTGTTGATTTCTGTGGCGCTGTTAAAGATGTGAATGTGGGTGGATGTTTGCACACTCATGCACGCTCATGCACGCTCACATACGTGTGTGTGTGTGTGTGTGTATATATATACAAACACACACCACACACACGCACGCGCGCGCGCACCCCACTGGGAAAGTGTGCTTGCGCTGCGGTGGTAATGCAAATCGAGGTTCCTGTGAGGTTTCTTCAGATCGGAAAAGAAGAAAGAACATCCAAAGGGTTTAAAAGCGCCTTTTTGTGTTTTATTCTGAATCGCAGGTGGCACATCAGCCGGGTCAACCGTTTAAGTTCACGGTGGTGGAAACATGTGATCGCATCAAAGAAGAATTCCAGTTCTTGCAAGCTCAGTATCACAGGTAACCTCGCCCCCGAATGCAAGCATTATTATTATTATTGTTGTTGTTAATAAACTTCGGGCCGTGGGGAATCGCATAGTCTAAGCTGTGCGGGTGGACGTTACAGATCCCACAGCACCTATTCGAAAAGAGAAGGTGGTTTCTCTCTCTCCCGCTGTCCTGGTCAACAACTCCCCCAAGTAAAATAGGTCGCTCACACCGTGACTGTTTTTGTGGGACGCTGCTGTGCGCAATTGGCTGCCGCCTTTCGCGAACACGGTATCCGGTCACGACACTTCACAGCATATTCAGTGAATACTGTCTCAAATTGAAGGATTATTATTATTCCGTGCCAGGAGGTGGGAAATGCGTTGGTGAGTGGCCTATTTATACCTGCTGAAATCTGACATTTTTCTGGACCGACGTCTAAATACCCACCTTGAACACCTCTCTCTGAGCAGAGCTGAGATTGTCAGATACCAAATTGCCGCCTGTACTCTTAACAGACTCTCTCTCTCCCTCTTTTTGGTGTCTTTGTTTTCCCTCTCCAGCTTTGTGTGTGTGTGTGTGTCTCTCTCTCTCTCTCTGCCTCCCTGTGTGCGCGTGTGAGTCTGTGTGTATGTGTCTGCCTCCCTGTGTGTGTGTGTGTGTATCTCCCCCTCTGCCTCCCTGTGTGTGTGTGTGTGTCTCTCCCCCTCTGCCTCCCTGTGTGTGTGTGTGTGTCTCCCCCTCTGCCTCCGTGTGTGTGTGTGTGTCTCCCCCTCTGCCTCCCTGTGTGTGTGTGTGTGTGTGTGTCTCCCTCTGCTTCCGCGTGTGTGTGTGTCTCCCTCTGCCTCCCTGTGTGTGTGTGTGTGTGTGTGTCTCCCTCTGTCTCCCTGTATGTGTGTGTGTGTCCCTCTACCTCCCCCTGTGTGTGAGTCTCTCTCTCTCTCTCTGTCTTGTCTTTAGACCTCTGTACAATGCCGGGAGTAGGTGGCTGAGAGTTGGATCTGCCTCTTGTTGTGTTTCATGTGTAAAGCCTGGTTAACCCCGCAGCGCGTGGTGACCAGCTCAATGATGTGTGAAGCTGACAAGAGGGAGCTGAGTGGGGGATTGAGTAACCGTTCAGCACTGTTCGGGGCTGCAGTCAGTCAGCTCGCTGTGTGCCCCAGGGACTGAGTGGGAGCAGCCAGACTCGCTCGGCAGCCAGGCCGCACGGCAAGGTCCTTGGCATCGCTCAATGTCGAACTGAGACTCAGCAACACGTCTGTGTCCTGAGACCCCACGGCCGAGGGCTGAGCGATGGGTCGGACAGAAGAAACCGTTCGTTGCCTCTCAGGCGCGAGCAACAGAGTCCTGTAGAGTAGCGCTTCGAGCAATTGCCTCGCAAGCGAGAAAACCTGGGTTCAGTCCCCGGTCTGTGTCTCAGGGTGTGTGTCTCTCTCTCTCTCTCTCTCTCTCTGTCTGTGTGTATGTCTCTATCTCTGTAGGTGTAGGTCTGTGCGCTTGCTTTGTCTCTCTGTTTGGGTGTTTGTTACTCTCTCTGTCTCCGTCCGCGCGCGCGCGCGCGCGCGTGTGTGTGTGTTCTGTAGCCTCTTGTCTTTTTTTTCTCTCTGTGTCTATGTGTGAGCTTCTCTCTCTCTCTCTCTCGTCTATTTACACCAGATGTTTGCACTTTAATCTCAAGGACCAGGAAATGATGTTGTGCGTTAGCGGCTGAGGCTGTGCCAGGGAATGTTTACACACCGGGTGCTGAAGGTGCTGCCAGTACATGTAATTAAGGAGGGCTAATTGGTTTCTACCGTTTACATAAGAGATTTTTTTTAATATATGTACAGAAAGGTGAGACCGTGATTACCATTTCCCGAACTGACATTAAATCTCTGAATGTATTGATGGCACCTGAAAATCAGTGAAGATCACTGCAGTTACCCCCCACCAACGCACTACAATTTACATCGACACTGTACAATTTGCATAGCCCCTTTCACACGGGGTAGAGTCCCAGAGCGCTTGGATCCCCCAAGCCTTGGCTCTCGCCAATCTGAGCCTAATACTTTGTAGAATTAGGTAAACAGGATGCCTTACCCCAGGGAGCGCGAGAGAGAGAGAGAGAGAGAGCGCATTCCGTTCCAACAATCTTTCTCTGGGATTTCCACGTGGAATTCTCAGCTCGGTTTGGGGACTCGTAAACAACGGTGGTGGGTTTCCGCGTGTGGTCAGACACACGGCTGACCCCCCTCCCAAAATGTGTCCCCGTCCTCTAAACGCCATCCCACGCTCAGGCGCTGGAGATTCCTGTCTGTCTGTCAGTCTTGTCGGTCGCTGGTTCGCCTCCCACCCCCCCCCCAGGGAACTGAGGCTCTGGGCAAGTGAGGAGAGGCTTTGTTGACGTGTAACTAATGGTTATTGTGATGCAGGAGATTGGGATTAGATGTGACAGGAACTGGCCCGGAGCCAGGTTACAGTCCTGGGAGGGGGGGAGTGAGCAGTGAAGGGCAGAGCCTTGTACACAAAGCTTCCAGTTTTCTCTCTCTGTCTCTGTCTCTCTGGATAATGCTGATACAGTTATTATTATTCTTGTGTTTTTCATCTTGCTTTTATCGAGTCGACATGTCTCAAAGTTGCTTTTGCGGTAAAGTGACTGCGTGTTTTGTAGGTGAGGGTGGCGGCCAGTTTGTGCACAGCTCGGCATTGTCCCACAAATAAGGGCGTGACCGATTTATATGGGGGCGGGGGGGTGATTGTTGCCTAGGATGTCGGGATAGAGGAAAACTTCCTTCTGTCTTTCAACAGCGCCGGGGGGGTGTTTAACGTTTGCCTGAACGGGCACAGACCGGGCTTTGGTTTACTGTCTCATCTGAAGGACGGCACCACACCCCCCCCCACCCCCACACACACACACACAGCCTCACAGTGCCAATAACCATCTCTCCTCTTGTTCCAGCCTGAAGATGGAGTGTGACAAACTGGCCAATGACAAGACGGAGATGCAGAGACATTACGTCATGGTGCGTAGTGTGTAGTGCGCCGGGCGAGTATGTTTGCCGGTGTCGTCTCCTAAGGTTTAGTATCTTCCCCCTCGGTTCCTGGTAACCGAGGCCCTCCCAGCTGGAGATGGGTAGGGCTGGACAAGCGGCAGGAAGTTTGCCAGCCGGGGCTCGCAGTGGTGAGCTGTGCGTGGGGTGTGTGAGCTGGTTCATCTCCAGCGGTTACTGTCTCAACTCGCACTGTGCAATCTTCCCTCCCTTCCCTCCTCCCCCCAACACCCCCCCTCCTCAGCCTTGGCTCTTGCCAAACAAGTCACGTTCTACTTTGCGGGATTAGGTGAGCAGGGTGTGTCCATCCCGCCGGGGAGGGGGGCGGTGGGCTAAGAGGGGGGTGGGGGGAAGAGTGCATTCCAGACCAGAGACGTGTGGAAGTTTCTTGTTTAGAGCCTCATAAATCACGGTGAGAGGTTTCTGTGTCGGACCCCAGTCAGAGGGAAATGTATTTGTCTAAATGACTCTCAGTGCGTCATTTGTGTCACTGAGACCCCCTAACAGGGCTGCTTATATGTAGTAACTACACCCATCCCCTTGCCCACAATGGCTCAGAGTTGAACCTGGTAGACTACGAGAGGGGTGATGTGGGGTGGTCTGGATTTGACAGCACAGGGAGGAAGGGGGTTAGATTGGTAAAGGATTCAAAATGGGGGCCGGGGGGGGAGGAAATCAGAATGTTAGTGGCAGGATTATTTTGCAGTCTCTGAAACACGCTTTCCTTAAATTGTTGGCCTGCGCCAGGATAAGGAAGGCTTTGGGGAACGCCGCAAATTTTACCCCAGTAAAGAGTGACATAGGGTTGTGGTGTGGTTCAGCGCTGCACCCACCCACCCACCCACCCTGCCTCCGAGACCCCCACACCCCCCCCCACACTCGGGGATTGACGTCGAGCTGTAGTGTTTGTTTGTTAAGGACTGAAGCGGACGGTCGGTTGGCGCTGGGTGGGGAATTGGACAAAGGAAACCACAGACTGATGAAGGCCTGTAAAACTAATGGTTATTACAAAAAAAAAGTTTAAAAATACCCCCACTGCCGTGTGGAAAACCAAAATAAGTGGCATTCGAGAGGGGGGAGAGAACGGGGAGAGCGAGGGAGTGGGTCAGGGAGGGAGGGAGGGAGAGATCGAGGGAGGGAGGGAGGTTTGTTTTGTAACCGTAGAGGAAATTTACCAGTTATTGACTGTATGGTTGTGGCTGAAGTCCTATTTGACTGACTCGCGCTCTCTCTGCGATTTCACTATCGAGCGGTTGTTGAGATTCGGTCACGACCTTTGGGGGTCACTGGGGGTGGAACTGGACCCTTTTGGGGATTGAGGGGGTCACAGCTTGAGGGAGCGGAAAGCTCTGTGTACGTAAATGCAAGTTGTTGTTGTCCAGTCCACTGTAAACCTTTCTGATTTCCCTGATTTTCCTCTCTCTTCAGTATTACGAAATGTCCTACGGGCTGAACATTGAAATGCACAAACAGGTACGTTTTCCCCCCCCCCCCCACAAAAACACACAGTCACTTCACTTCAACAGCGGATCGGGTGAAGCACTTTTGAGACGTCTCAAGGGCGTGATCGGGCGCCGTATCAAATGGCAGCAGTGTTATTATTATCATTATTATTATTATTAAGTCTCTGGTGTTATTCGCCGCCTGGCTGACCGCTGCTGGCTCAGAGACTTCTGAGATCACGGTGTATAAATGAATGCGATGGGGAAGGCGAGTGGATTATAAATTGCAATGAAAACCTCAGAGTGTAAGCTCTGGGTTGGCACAGCACCAGCACAGCCACAGCAATACCATGTGGCCGACACCAGCCACGCTCACATATCTCGCTGCTTCCCATGGCGAGCAGGCCAACTGCGTGCAAACGCGGACCGTTAGGGTCAAGTGATGGAATTTCAAGCCCTGGAAAGTGTCTGTCTGTCTGTGTGTGTGTGTGTCTCTTTCTCTCGTGTATCTGTGTCTCTCTCTCTCTCTTTCCCCCCCCCCCGCTCCCCTGTCTCTCTGTAATCTCCCCTCTCTCTCTCTCTCGCAGGCTGAGATCGTGAAGAGGCTCAGTACAATCTGTGCGCAACTCATTCCTTTCCTCTCCCAGGAGGTGAGTTGGACGGTTGGGTGGGGGTATAAGATCTCCTTCAATTACAGACCCCGCTGGGGTGGGGGGGGTGGGGTAGGGCGGGAGGGGTTGGGAGTTGCTGCGTTGTCGGAGACGCCGTCTTTCGGATGAGACGTTAAACCGAGGTCCCGTCTGCCTGTTCAGGTGGACGTTAAAGATCCCGCTGCCCTAATGGAAAAGAAGAGGGAGTTTTCCACCCCCCCCATCCCCACCCCGTTTTCCTGGCTAACAATCCCCCGAATAAAATGCTTGGCTCGCTCCACGGCTGTTTGTGGGGACGCTGCTGTGTGCAAATTGGCTGCTGCGTTTCACCCATAAACTGCACAGTCAATTCACTTTACAGTGTATCCTCAACGAGGTGATGAGGCGCCGGGGCAAACGCCAGGATTATTGCTAAAGACGTGGATGTGAAGCCCAGTTTGCCACATGGTTGTTGTTCCAAACTGCTCGAGAAACCAGGTTCAGAGGTCACAAAATGGCCCTCGAGTCTAACCGAAGCCACAGAGCGTTTGTTTATTTATTTACTGAAGTGAAGGGGGAGGGGGCGGTGGGGGGTTGGGGAGTGTGATCGAGCGAGGGGGAGAGGGAAGAAGAGATTGGAGTCCAGTTTATTTTAATTCTGAAACCCGTCGAAGCGTGTGACAAGCTCAGGGCAGTGGAAACCCTGACATTCGTCAATTCACACACAAGCTGTGTCTGTGGTGGGGAGGGGATGGGAGAGACGGGGGTGGGGGGGTTGCGGGCGAGAGAGAGAGAGGAGGGAAGAGGGGGAGGGAGTAGGAAGATTGATGGTGAGGAGAGGAAATGGGTGAGTGGGGGAGGAATTGGGGGGTTGGGGGGGGGGGGATGGAGAGACACGTTTCGAAAGATCTCTCCTTTTAAAAGGGTGGCCAGAATCTGACACTGTTTAAAGCTCCGCACAAACCTGTTAATGGGTGGGAGGGTGAGACGGACAAACCCTCTTTTTTTTAAAACATAAAGATAAATGAACAGTCGCCCTGAGTGAATTGGTAATTTCTCTCTCTCTCTCTCTCTCTCTCTATTTTTAAAAAAAAGAACATTAACATATCTCTTTGCTGCTACATAACTGCGGCTGTGGTGGGGACGCTGGGGCGGGGTGTGCGGGGAGGGGTTGGGTGGTGGGGGGGGGGGGGGGGGAAAGGGAAAGAAACGTCTGAGGTTTAAGGCCTGAATTCACCACAATGCTCTCTCTCGTCTGACGCAGCACCAGCAGCAGGTGGTGCAGGCGATAGAACGGGCGAAGCAAGTGACGATGGGGGAGCTGAACGCTATCATCGGGGTACGGTAACCCTGGGGAACGGGTCTGAGTTGGGGGGGGGGGGAGAGTGGGGGTGGGGGGTGCGGGGGCAGCCTGGGCTGGATGGGGGGTGTGTGTTGTGTGTGTTTTCGGGAGGTAAGGAATGGGGGGGGAGGGTTGTGTTTTTGAGACACAGTGGTGGCTGAGAGGGGTGAGGGGACGGCAGTCTGGGTTAGATGGTTGGGGTGGGGGTGGGTGTGTGGGGGGGTTGCGTGTTTTTTTTGACTCGGCTCGTGGAGTCCTGTAGCTCAGCGGTTAGAGCACTCGCTTTGCAAGTGAGAGACCTGAGTTCAATTCCAGGCAGAGGGCGAAACCTTGGGCAAGTTTCCTTACTCCACACAGAGCCTAATAATATTCCCTCCAAAACCAAACAATAATAAATTGGTCATTTTCAATCCACGACACTTTGTGGGACATTGCTGTGCGCAATTGGCCGCCGCGTTCGCCCACAAATATACAGTCAATCCACTTTACAGTGTGTTCTGTGAAGCGCTTTGGGACGACAAGGATTTTTTTTTAAAAAGGTGGGGTGTGTTGCGTGTTTGAGTCAGAGTGCGGGGTGGGGTGGGGGGTGCGTGGGGAGGGGGGGGGTGTTAGCCCTGTTAATTCTCCCATCTCCGGTGCCAATCTCCCTGTTTTTTTTTATCTCATTCACATGAAGCATCATCACTTACAGCAACAGCAGCTCCAGCACCTGTCCCATCACGTGCCGCCCATCCCCCTGACCCCCCACCCCTCGGGCCTGGCCGCTGCAGGGGTCACCGCCATGGGCGGGGGCTCCGGTCTCCTGGCCCTGTCCAGCGGTCTGGGGGCACACGCCCACCTCGTCATGAAGGATGAGAAGAACCACCTGGACATGGACCCTCACCGAGGTAAGAGCACCCCCTGGTGGCGCGAGCTCTTCACTACACCCCGGCCTCTCTGGTCACCCAACGACCATTTAGTGGCGTCACCGGAGGGTAGAGGCGAGAGTGGACCCGGGTTCGATTCCCGGGCAGGTCAGGACCAAACACCGGGCGAGTTTCCTTACTCCGCGCGCGCACACGCGCCTCTGTTTACGCGGCGGTCAGTAGGAACCCGGTTGTGAGTGGATTGGCGGATGCACTTTTTTTTAAAAAAAAAGAATAATTTGGTCACTCAACCCACGGCTGTTTGTGGGGGCGCCGCTGGCTACTGGGTTTCGCCCGCAGAATACGCTGTCGAGCCACTTCGCAGTGTGTCCTGTGAAGCGCTCAGAGACGTCTCAACGACGTGCCAAGGCGCTGTATCAAATGTAATTATTATTATTGTTTCATTTTGATTGCACTTATATTGCACGCAGGATGACAAGGGTCTAACAGCCCAAGCAGAGCCTAGCGCAGCTCACTCACTCTCCTGTCTGTTTTACTGGATTATAATTGTGTTGAGTAATTGTTCTAAACACAGCTGTACTTTATGTCAATATTTATCTTGATATCTCAAACGTTTAATTGAAATGTAAACCCACCCTAGCCCTTTATCGTGCTTCCTATTCTGCAATCGTGTCATTCCAATAATGCACACTCTGTAGCTTCTCTCTCTCTCTCTCTCTCCATTTTAATCTCCTCTTTCTCACTGCCTCTCTCTTTCCTCTTTTTCACTTTCTCTTTCATTCCTGCCTCTCTCTTTCTCAGTACAGAAGGAGACCATTGACCCTGACATCTTGCCGTCTGCTCCCCCGGGAGAAACCGCTGTAATCCCAATCTCCCAATTGCTGCCGTTTTGTTTCTCCGAACCTTCTGATATTGTTTCTCCTCAAACTGTTCCCCAATTCCTTTTGAAACCGTTGCAGTTTCAACCTCAGCAGCTAACGGTGGCAACGGGTTCCACGTTCTGGTGAGCCGCGTGTGAAAACCTTTCATATCCCACCCCTCAACCTTTCCAGTGACGTTCAGTTCAGGGACGGAGCGCGGGCAAGTGGGGGGAGCATAGGAACAGCTCAACCCCTCGAGCCTGTTCTCCGCCACCTCCCTCTCCCCCATTCTATGATAAGATCATGGCTGATCTGTACCTCAACTCCAATTACCTGCCTTTGCCCCATATCCCTCGATCCTCTGATCTGACAAATATCTCTCCTCCTCAGTCTGGACAATGTGAATGGGTCCAACGTTCAATTGTGGGGGTCGGGTTGGGCGGGGAATCGAGAGTGTTGTTGTGCAGGAAGTAGACTCTTGGTATATAACTGTATCAATAATCAATATTTTCCTATTCCCCCCCACACCTTCCCCTCCCCCTCTCCCCCCCCCCCCGGAACCTGGTGTGGAAACTCTCTCCGATGCTGCCGTTTCCTACTCAGATCCGGAGCGAGAGCGAAGCAGAGTAAGTGACTCGTTTTATTTATTCTCGCATTTTATCTGAGCAGCGGGTGGGAGAGGGGTGGGGGCGAGAGAGAGAGAGAGAGGGGGGGGAAGTGGCTGCGATTGAATGTTGGGAAAGCTCGTCAACTGTGCGAGGTTGGGGTTTGGGGGCGTGGAGGGGGGGGGTGGGAGGTGGTTGTAATCACTCAATCCTCAATCATTACTCCACATGAAGAACGCTGTGTATGAGCGCAAGTTGTTGTTGTAGCAATAAACTGTGACCCATCAGATGAAAAACGAGCAAAAAAAGGCCTTAAAGAGGGAGTTTCAGTGGGGTCGGGGGCGGGGGGTGGGGTGGGAAACAGAGAGAAAAATGCACTCGGTGTTTTACCTGCGGTAGAGATGTGGCCTCTGCAAGTTGATGCACAGCTCTGGTGTCTGTATTATCACCGGGTGAGTTACCCACATGGAGTTGCAGTCAGAGAGACATGAAGCGTAACAGTGATGATCGCTATTCTCCGGGGGGGGGTGGGGGGAGGTAAACCTGGCCCGTGCCTTGGAACGTGGGATTCAGTAGCAAGGTAGTCCTTGCTCAGTGTCCTGTAGCTGTAGCTCAGTGTCCTGTAATCCTGTAGCTCAGTGGTTAGAGCACTCGCTTTGCAAGTGAGAGACCTGAGTTCAATTCCAGGCAGAGGGCGAAACCTCGGGCAAGTTTCCTTACTCCACACAGAGCCTAATAATAATCCCTCCAAAACCAAAAACAATAATAAATTGGTCATTTTCAATCTACGACACTTTGTGGGACATTGCTGTGCGCAATTGGCTGCCGCGTTCGCCCACAAATATACAGTCGATTCACTTTACAGTGTGTTCTGTGAAGCGCTTTGGGACGTCCTCCCGACGTGAAAAGCGCTATATCAAATGCAAGGATTATTATTATTATTATTATTAAGGTAAGAATGCGGGAAGGATGGGGGTGAGTGGGAGGAGGAAATGAGAAGTGGTGGGGGAGGAGAGTGGGTAAGGAAAGCTGCCAAGTGTAGTTCGGGGGAGATTTCTCTCTCTCTCTCTCTCTCTCTCTCTCTCTCTCTCTCCCGGCTGGTGTCCTGGCCGACAATCCCTTGGGTAGAATCAGTCACTCACTGCACAGCTGTGGGATGTGGTACAAATTGTCAGCCATTGTTTTGTTTGCAAAAAGAGTCACTACGCTTAACGACAACCCTTTCCTTCCCCACCCCCCCCCCCGCCCTACCCCACCCCCCCCCCCAGCCCCCGCCACAACCGTGAATTGCTTTGGGATGTTATTGGCGACGCATCAAATACGCGGCTGTGTTTTGCATCTGGCATCTCCCCCGCAACGGGGGCTGCAATACACGGGGCCCCTCCCCTCGTGCAGGCCAGCGTTTCGGAGCGTTTAACAGTGGCCAAGTCTGGCACCAGGGATTGGGGGGGGAGGAAGTGACCATGGGTGTGTGTGTGCGTGGGTGTGTGTGCGCGTGGGTGTGTGTGCGCGTGGGTGTGTGTGCGCGTGGGTGTGCGCGTGGGTGTGTGTGCGCGTGGGTGTGTGTGCGCGTGGGTGTGTGTGCGCGGGGGTGTGTGTGCGCGTGGGTGTACGCGTGTGTGTGGGTGTACGTGTGTGTGTGCGTGGGTGTTCGCGTGGGTGGGTGTGTGTGCGCGTGGGTGTACGTGTGTGTGTGGGTGTACGTGTGTGTGTGCGTGGGTGTTCGCGTGGGTGTGTGTGTGGCCGCGCACTGGCCGGCCTTGTGTGGAGCGGAGCTCGCGCTCTCTCTCTCTCGCTCGTCCCAGACCTTCCAACCTCGCAGTTTGCTGGGAGGCAGCGACTGCTGGGAGTGCAGTCACCCTGTCAGTGTGTGGTCAGTCTGAGAGAGAGAGAGAGAGAGAGAGGAAAAACTCCTTTCTCTTTTTCCGATAGCCTCGGGTGCAGGGGTGGGAGGGTGGGGGGGTGGGGGGGAACCTTTAACATCCGCCTGAACAGAGCGCGGGTAGAACTGAGGTTTAATGTCTCCTCCAAAGGATGGCACCTCAGAGAATATGTTCCTGATCTAAATTTGAGACGTTCAATCTTTCGAGGCGTTGGGTCAAACTCGGGATAATTCCTTTATTTTACATTCCAACCACCCCACGCACACACAAAACACACACACACACACACACACACACACACACACACACACACACACAAAGCCAGACGCGCACGCGCGCACAGACACGCACAGACCCGCCAACCCCCTGGCGCTGAAGGAAATATCCTCGCAGGTAGCAGCAATAATTAAGACTCTCTTTTTCTTTTACGAAAAGCACAATGCGTTATTATTTTAGGAAAGAATGAACCAAGACAGACAGATAAATGCTGGTGGTTGGCGGGGAGCCAGCACAGCTCGGTCTCCGTCTCCAGCCGCCTGGTGTGGTTAACCCCTTTGTGTGGATTCATGGAAGTCGCTCTCAGCTGTTTCAGTACGACCACCGTTTCACGACTGTGGGAACGGCATTCACTGTGAACTCGGCCGCAAAATATACTGTCACTTCACGTTGTGTCCTGCGAAGCTCTTTGAGACGAGATATGGCTCCGTATATCAAATTCGAGGGTTATTATTGTTAAACCCTTCTCACCCCCCCCCCCACCACCCCCACCCACGCGCGCACACACACGCAGTGCTTTGATCGAGCCTCCTGCCGTTTCTCTGCATTCCCGCACCCCCGCCCGACTCAACCAGCCTCGTCGCTCCCCAAATTAGGCTCCCTCCAGTTTCCACCCCCCCCCCCCCCCCACAACCCAGCTCACCCCCCCCCCCCCCCATCAGAAACCTTGAGCCCGAAGTCCAGCCCGAGAGTCGAGCCCGTGTTTGGGATCCGGGTTCTGAGCTCAGAATCGAATCGCAATTTTTTTTCCCAAATTCTTACATTTTAAGCCCATTTTTGAGCGAGCGCCGACCCCCTCTGGTGGCCGAGACTCCGTATGAACGATAAGAGTGTTACTCACGAATCAGGTGGGGCCGGGGGGGACTTTTATTACCTCTCCACCTCCCCACTCCCCCCCCCACCCACCCCACAAACATACACACGGCAACAATAATAATCCTCGCATTTGATACAACGTCTTTAATCTCAGGAGGACGTCTCAAAGTGCTCCCCTGGATTTACTGTCAAGCGTAGTGACTGTGCGTTTTGAAGGCATGCAAATTTAGCCGATTTGTGCACGGGCGGGGGAGCGGGGGGAGTGGCGATGGAGAGGCTTCGGACTGGTTTACCTCGGAGGAAGCTCGAGCTGGCAAAGCGAGGGAGTTGGCTGAGAGGCGAGGGAGAGCGAGAGAAAGATGAGTAGCGTGTTGGCAAGTCCAAACTGATTCAACGCGCTCTGCGGACACGCCTGTAGCACGCCAAGAACCCGCGTGACCTGTTACATGCTTGTTTTCGTGTTCCAGGAAGGGAGGGAGTTGGTGGGGGTGGGGGGAGAATTCGAGGTTGCATGCCTTGTATGGAAACATTGCTTCAGCCAAACCACAGACCGCAAAAGTCAACTACTCAACATTTGGCCCCGGGGTAGAGAGAGAGAGAGAGAGAGAGAGGGGGGGGGGGGATGGGGGAGGGAGTTATGCAAAAACCTCAGCAGATGAACCTGTTCCGTCAACTGTCTGTTTGGCTTTGCTCGGAGGCCGTTTATGTACAGGCTGTTCCGTGCGGTTGGGCCTCGGGCCAGACTCTGTGTGTATTTTCCTTTGAAGAAAATAATAACCCAGAACCTCGGGTTAGACCTGAGGCGCGAGAACGTCTCAAAGCGCTTTGCAAGATTCGACCAGCTCCGCGATGATCTTACACCCATCTGACAATGCTCTCCCCCCCCACCACCCGAACCGCACCCCCACCCCCAACGCTGTGCGGGAGGGTCAGCCTGGACTGTGTAAGTTCAAAGCCCCTCTCCGCGCCCCCCCCCCCTCCCACCGATGCAGGGCTTGAACCACAACTTCCTGACTTTGAGGCGAGAGAGAGCAATTGGTGTGATAAAGTGTTGTAGCTGGTTGGCGGGGGGGTGGTGAGGGGGGTCAAACATTTGAAGAGGATGGTTTTTAAGATTGGATTTGAGAGCGGGGAGTGAGAGAGAGGGGGGGGATAGGGGGAAATGGGGGTGGGGGTTGGATTTCAGAAGAGGGTATAATGGTAGGTTTATTAGCGTTGTCACCGGACCGAGTCAGGATGGAAAAGCGATTTCCGATTTTATTATCTCACCGTAAACACGTGTGCGTGTGCGTGTGCGTGTATTTGCTCACTGTCGGCCTCGGGAGGTGAGTGAGGTGTGTGGGTGTGTGCTGTCTTGGCTCGCAGCCCATCACGCTTGACTGAGCTCCACACGGTTCCTTGTGCTCAAGACACCCTTGAGCATTCTTGTCAAAACAAAACTTGTGTAGGTTCGCCCTCCCTCCCTCCCTCCCTCCCTCCCTCCCTCCCTCCCTCCCTCCTCCCTCTCAGCCGCCCCACAGAAAGAATTCAACTAAATTAGAGGGATGTGTGTGTGGGGGTGGGGGGGGGTGAAATACCTTGCGTTAGCAAGTTCCCTTCGTCTGTGGGACACTGCTGTGCGCAACTGTCTGTCACATTTCACCCACAAAACATACAGTCTTTGCAGTCTATCCTGTGAAGGGCTTTGAGACGTCCCAAAGACGTGATGAGGCGCCGGATCAATACAATACGAAATTATATTTGTTTAGCGCCTTTCACGTTGGGAGGACGTCCCAAAGCTGCTATACCAAATGCGAGGAATATTGTTATTCCTGTAGCCGGATAAACCGGTAGATTTTTTTTTTTTTTTAAATTTCCCCCGGGTTTGAAGGTCTCCCGATGGTGAAATTCCCGCCGGGAATCTTGCGCGGCTGTCACCGCGAGCCATAACCATTTGGAAATTCATTCATTCCGGCAGCTGCTGATTTGCAGAAGTTCACTGCGCGGCAGATGGGAGTGATTCCCCGTTAGGACATAATAAGCCTCACTGTCTCTCCCCCCCATATCTCTCTCTCTCCGCTGTGTTTCCATCTGCCGAGGCAGCAGTCTGCGCTCAATCAATCATCAACCCCACACGTCTAGGTTGATGGAGCCGCGATACAGTGGGTGGGGGGCGTGTGGGGTGGGGGGGGGTCATCGTATCGTCGGAGACTCCGTCCTCGGGATGAGACGCTAAATCGAACTCCCTGTTCAGACCACAAGATCCAATTGGAAAAGAGAAGGCAGTTTCTCTCTCTCCCTCTCCCCCCCCACCCCACCCTCCGGATGAAATCCCATGAAATTGGGTCATTTGCTTCACGGCTGTTTGTGAGACGCTGCTGCGAGCAAATTGGCTGCCGGGTTCGCCCGAATAATTATACAGTCAGTGAATCAGCATCAATGAGTGTCAGTGAAGCGGGGATGATAATAATAATAATAATAACAATCCTTGCTTTTGATACAGCGCCGTATCTCGTCATCGAGAAGTCTCAAAGCGCCTCACGGGATGCGCTGTAAAGTGCGAGTAGAAGTTGAGGCTTCGGGGATTGACAACTTTGTGGTTTAAAAACGGTCTGTGTTGTTTCCTCAGAGCAAGTCTGTCTCGCCCACCGACAGCCTGAGAGGAGACAGAGGCTCACTCGATTACAGCAGCGACGTGAAAAAGCGTAAATGCGAAGACAAAGACTCGGTGGGAAGATACGTATGTCGTGGCGCGTTTCAGGCCCTGGTTCTGATAATAATAATAATAATAATAATAATAATTATACACCGGCTTCCAAATCGAGACTGGAATTTAAGAATTTTTAACGCGCAACATCTGTGCGACCTTTTATTTAATAGTGGTGAAGACTGTCAACCGTCCGACTGAGACTGGGAGGGAGCGTGGGAGGAGGAGGGGGGGGAGGGGGTTGGCAGAGAGAAGAAGAAGGGAAAAAAAAGGAGAGGAAGTCGTTTGAAATATTAAAATGAACCGAACGTTTTCGTGGAGAAATAAATACGTGTTAAATCGGTTTTATTGGCGAGCGGCACAGTACTGCCCTCTGCTGGGCATTTAGGACAATTGGGCAACACCCCCCCCCCCACACACCCCCCCTCTCCCCCACCCACCCACACGGGTTCACACCCCCACCAACCCACACGGGTTCACACACACACCCCCACCCACCCACACAGGTTCACACACACACCCCCACCCACCCACCCGCACGGGTTCACACACACACCCCCACCCACCCACACGGGTTCACACACACACCCACACCCACCCACACGGGTTCGCACACACACCCCCACCCACCCACACGGGTTCGCACACACACCCCCACCCACCCACACGGGTTCGCACACACACACCCCCACCCACCCACATGGGTTCGCGCACACACCCCCCCACCCGCACGGGTTCGCACACACACCCCCACCCACCCACACGGGTTCACACACACACCCCCACCCACACGGGTTCACACACACACACCCACCCACCCACACGGGTTCACACACACACCCCCATCCGCACGGGTTCACACACACACCCCCATCCGCACGGGTTCACACACACACACCCCCACCCACCCGCACGGGTTCACACACACACCCCCACCCACCCACACGGGTTCACACACACACCCCCATCCGCACGGGTTCGCACACACACACCCCCACCCGCCCGCACGGGTTCACACACACACAACCCCACCCACCCGCACGGGTTCACACACGCGTCCATTTCTTTTCGAGAAGGCGCCTTTGGGGGAATGTGTGATGCGCTTTTTTCTTGTAAGTGCTTTTAAGCGCTGGATGAACGCGAGCTGTTGCCGTTGAGTTGGGAGATTGTTACCTCTGACGAGTCTCGTCTTCCCCAAAGCAGGACAGCGACGCGGAGAAAAGCGACGACAACTTAGTGGTGGACGTCTCCAACGAGGTAACCCCCGACCCTTCCTCTAGTTTCCTTCGGCTCTGCTGCTGCTCCTCCATCCCCTGCCTTTCCCCCCTCCCTCGCTCCTTTCCTTCCCTCCTTCCTAACCCTAATCAGCAGCAAAGCCTCGTCCCCCACGGCCCCCCCCCCACCCCCACCCACCCCTACCATCGCCTGAGCCGCTGCTAACCGGAGCCAAGACACACTCTCTCTCTCTCTCCGTGTTCTCCCCACCACAGGACCCGTCCTCTCCGCAGCCCAGCCCGCCTCACTCTCCCCGGGGTAACGGGCTGGAGAAGTTCCACGTGTTGAGGAAAGAGGCCCCGGGGAGCCCGGCATCGCTGGCCTCCTCCCGCAGCACCCCCCCCGCCAAAGCCAAGGAACCCCCCGGCTTGGTGAGCCACACTCGCACGTACACACGCACTCGCACGTACACACACGCACTCGCACGTACACACACGCACTCGCACGTACACACACGCACTCGCACGTACACACGCACTCGCACGTACACACACGCACTCGCACGTACACACACGCACTCGCACGTACACACACGCGCTCGCACGTATACACATACACACGCGCACTCGCACGTACACACGCGCACTCGCACACATTCGCACCTCTTTGTTTAGCAGTAAGTAGGAATCCCTTTGTTAGTCGGGTCGCTTTCCGGGGGTAAAGACGTTGGTCAGGTCCGCGGTTCGCCAATGTTTCCTGACGGTCTTCTCTTCCATCTCGGCAGAACGAGAAAGCCAGCACCCCGGTGTCCAAGCCGGTCACCCCCACCCCTCGCAGCGACTCACTGACCCCAGGGCCCAGCTCCGCCCCTCGCCTCCGCCAGATCAGCAGCAAAGCCTCTGCGGACGTGCTGGGTAAGAGCGGCTTTCAGTAAACACGCGTGTGGGTGGGGGTGTCGGGGTGGGGGGGTGGTGCTCACGCATGCAATGTTTAGAAAAGTTTTTTGCAATTCAGAGTCCACTGTATGTGGCTGATGAACGTAAGCACAAGTCATTCAGTCTGTGGTGTGTGTGTGTGTGGTGTGTGGTGTCTGGCGGGGGGTGTGTGTGTGTCTGGGGGTGTGTGTGTGTGTCTGGGGGGTGTGTGTGTCTGGCGGGGGGGTGTGTCTGGGGGTGTGTGTGTGTGTCTGTGGGTGTGTGTGTGTCTGGGGGGTGTGTCGGTGTCTGGCGGGGGGGTGTATGTGTGTCTGCGGGTGTGTGTATGTAAGCGTCTGCTCAACTGATAACAGTTTACTCATCCCCTTTCTCTCTCTTGCCCGACTCGCCTCTCTCTCTCTGGCTCTCCCCCTCTCCCCCGGCACAGCCCTGAGGAGCCCGCTGACGGTGCCCAGTCCGTATTCCACGCCCTTCGCTATGATGTCTCACGCGGGGATGAACGGGGAACTGCCGAGCCCAGGGGCCTACGCCAGCCTCCACATCTCCCCACAGCTCAGCACCGCTGCCGTGTACGGGCGGTCTCCCCTGGTGAGGACACGGGCAGCTCACAGCGCAGGGCGGGGGAATAACACGCACACACACACGCACACGCTTCGTGGGTGAAACGTGACTGAGGTTAAACTGATGTCGCGTCTGTGCCCTGTTCAGGTGGACGTTAAAGATCCCATGTCACTATCGGAAAAGAGAAGTGTGTGGGTTTGGGGGAAGGGAAGGGGGCAATGGGGGTGGGGGGGGTTCACAGTCTAATTTGCAAAGTCCTAGAGTCCTGTAGCTCAGGGGTTAGAGCCCTCGCCTCTCAAGCGAGAGGATCTGGGTTCGATTTCCCCTTCAGGGTGAAACATTGGGCAAGTTTTCCTTACTCCACACACTCACGCGCTTCTCTCTGTTTACCTAATCGGAAGTGGGAACCCGGTTGTTATTCGGATAACGAATGGCTTTGCCACCCCCCCCCCACATCCCCCCACCCCCCCATCCCCCCCGCGGGGGTAATAATCCCTTCATGAAATTAATAAGTGAAATAATAAATGAATTCATTCGGAATTTGGTCACTCAATCCACGACTTGTTTGGGGCACGTGCTGTGCGCGATTGACTGCCACGCTTCTCCCACAAAACATACAGTCACTACACTTTACAGTATATCCTTAGAGATGTCGCAACAAGGTGATACAGCGCTATATCAAAATGCAAGTATTATTATTATTATTGCAAGATATCTCCCCCCCCCCCCATGAGATCTGAGGCTAAACTGGTTTGTTTCTGTTTTCCTCAGGTGGCCTTTGACTCTCACCCTCACATGCGGACTTCGGGTCTTCCCGGGAGCATCCCGAACATCACCGGGGGGAAACCGTGAGTGCTCCCCTCATTCACGCAGACAATGAAACTCTTATTATTATTATTATTTTCCCCTCTCCTCCCTCGTTGCCAGGGCATAGAGCTCAAGATCCTCGCCCTCGCTTTCAAAGCCCTTCACAGCCTTACCCCCAACCTTTGGAACTCCATCCCACAGTCCCTCGGCCTCTCCCCCTCCCTCAAGGCCCATCTCAAGACCCCCTTCTTCGACAGCGCCTTCTGTCACCCTCCTATCCCCGCCCACCCCCCCGCCCTCTAGTTCCTAACCTGTCCAAGACGTCTCAAAGCGCTTCACGGAGTATATTGCAAGGTGGAGTGACTGTGTGTTTGTTTTGTTTGTTGTTGGTGTTTTTTGTTCTCTATTGCCCAATGTCCTGCCGTTGCCTGTCAGGGCGTATTCGTTCCACGTGAGCGCCGACAGCCAGATGCAGCCGGTGCCGTTCCCCCCGGACGCGCTCCTGGGCCCCGGAATCCCGCAGCACGCCCGGCAGATCAACAGCCTGAGCCACGGCGAGGTGGTCTGTGCTGTGACCGTCAGCAACCCCATGCGGCACGTCTACACGGGGGGCAAGGGCTGCGTGAAGGTTTGGGACATCAGCCAACCCGGCAGCAAGAGCCCCGTCTCCCAGCTCGACTGTCTGGTAAGTCACTGGCGGCAAACCAGACAATAACCATCATCATAATCGTAATATTCCCGGCGCCCGACCACATCGCCGAGACGTCTCGAAGCGCTTCTGAGGTCTCGTCTGTGTCAGGTGGAGGTTAGAGATCCCATGTCACTAGCGGCAAAGAGGTGTGTGTGTGTGTGTGTGTGTGTGTGTTGGAGGGGGGAGGTGACAGGGAGCTTCACAGTTAAACGCTGTGCAGTGGAGTGACTATGTGTTTCGCAGGAAAACACGTCGACCAAAACCCTTCACTGACATCTCTGTTAATCTCTCTCTCTCTCTCTCTAGAACCGAGACAATTACATCCGCTCCTGTAAGTTGCTGCCCGACGGCCGGACCCTGATCGTGGGGGGGGAGGCCAGCACCCTGTCGATCTGGGACCTGGCGGCCCCCACCCCCAGGATCAAGGCCGAGCTGACCTCCTCGGCCCCCGCCTGCTACGCCCTGGCCATCAGCCCCGACGCCAAGGTCTGCTTCTCCTGCTGCAGCGACGGCAACATCGCTGTCTGGGATCTGCACAACCAGACGCTCGTCAGGTGAGGGGCCGACTCGCTTAACGCAACAACAACTTGCGTCCCAGAGCGCTTGACAGTGGCGGAGCACGACACCGAGCCGGGGGGGGGGGGGGTGACTGTAGGTCCAAGAGGAAAGTTTTCAGGCGAGACCTGAAGATGGGGAAGGAGGGAGGGTGCAAGGCGGAGGGGGGGGGGGGCTGATAGAGGAAGAATGTTCCAGAGTTTCGGATGGGGGTGGTAGCGGCCCGAAACACGGCCACCGATGGCAGAACGGAGGGCACGAGGGACATGCAGGAGCCAGTCGAGCGGAGGTAGTGGGTCAGAGAGGTAGGGAGATGGACTAACGCAGTAAACCTCACACGAGTCGTATCAGTTGGGACCATTCCATTTAATAAGACTCCGTTGCAAAGCATGAGTTGTGTCAAACCTGCAGAAGTCATCTCGTACACGATAATAAAGCGATTCCCCCTCTGAGAACCAGAGAGGCCATCATCATCATAATAATAACTATTGCATTTTGATATGTTGTCTTATGTTGTTGAGACATCCCAAAATGCTTCACAGTATGTACTGTAAAGTGGATTGATTGTGTCACCCCCACCCCCCCCCCTCCACAGGCAGTTCCAGGGCCACACAGACGGGGCCAGCTGTATCGACATCTCCAACGACGGGACCAAACTGTGGACCGGAGGCCTGGACAACACTGTGCGCTGCTGGGACCTGAGGGAGGGCCGACAACTTCAGCAACACGACTTCACTTCCCAGGTACCGCGGTGCGAGGCGGGCGGGCGGGGAAATAATAAGGATAATAATACTTCCATTTGATATAGCGCCTTATCACGTATCGTTGAGGTACAACGCCTCAAAGGATATACTGTAAAGTGTAGTGACTGTATATTTTTGCAGGTGAAACGCGGTAGCCAATTGCGCCCGGTGGTGTCCCATTAACAGTCGTGGGTTGGCGATACGACACAGCAATAAAATACTAACCTTCCACAGCGCCTTGCAGGGCGGGAGGACATCTCAAAGCTCTTTACACAGCTGGGTGGTACCTTAATAATGATCCTTGCGTTTGATCCTTACACCCCTCCCTCTCCTCACTACCCCCAACCCCCCCCCCCCCCCGTTATCAGGTGGTTGAGACGTCTCAAAGCGCTTCACAGAATATACTGTAAAGTGGGTCGAGTGTGTATTTTGGGGGAATATTCTCTCAGAATCTTAGCTTTTTATTTTAAGAAAGGAACGACTGAGTGTGTGACAGACAGAGAGGGAGAGAGAGGGAAAGCTAAAGCTAACGGGAGGCCTGCCTTGCGTTACAGATTTTCTCCCTGGGATACTGTCCCACCGGGGAGTGGTTGGCTGTGGGGATGGAGAGCAGCAATGTGGAGGTTCTGCACGTCAACAAACCCGACAAATACCAGCTCCATCTCCACGAGAGCTGTGTGCTCTCCCTCAAGTTTGCCTATTGCGGTAAGAACATAGGGATAGGCCTTCTCTTTTAGAACAGTCCTTGCTGTGATACAGCGCCTTATCACGTCTTCCATAAGACGTAGGAGCAGGAGGAGGCCATTCGGCCCCTCGAGCCTGCCCTGCCATTCAATACGATCATGGCTGATCTTCTAACCTAATTCAATTTACCCGTTCCCCCTATCCCTTAGTCCCTCCCTCAGACGATTCAAAACGCTTCACAGGATATACTGTAAAGTGGATTGATTGTTTATTTTGTGGGGAGAGGTATTTGTGGGTGAAACGTGGCAGCCAATTGCACACAGCGGTGTCCCACAAACAGTTGATTGAGTGACCAAATTATTATTTTTTTCCTGAACGGGCAGACTTCTCACATCTCAGTTCCACGTCTCATCCAAAGATGCAAAGGAAAAGAATGGAGTTGGAGAACCTGGAGGGAGGGGGGGGAGAGAGAACAGGGGGTGGGTGGGTCGGGGCAGTGAGGTGAGCGGGTGGGTGTAGGCAAGCCAATGATGTTTCCCAGAACGAACCTGACTCTGATTTCTGCGCTCAGGCAAGTGGTTTGTCAGCACGGGGAAAGACAACCTGTTGAATGCATGGCGGACACCATACGGGGCCAGTATATTCCAGGTAATTATTCTTAAATCTGTATCCTCTGATTACCCGCCCGCCCGCCCGCCAGAGGAAACCGTTTCTCTTTACCTCCTCTATCAAAAACCTCATCGTTCTGAACACCTCTGTTAAATCTCCCCGTAACCCTCTCTGCTCTTAAGGAGAACGATCCCACCCTCTCTAAGTCTAGTCTCGCCACATAACTGAAGCCCCTGATACCCTGATACCGTTCTGGTAAACCTCCTCTGCACCTTCTTCAAGGCTTTGCTCGACATCCTTCCTAAAGCGTGGTGCCCAGAAATTGGACACAATACTCCAGGTGAGGCCTAACCTCTCTCTCCCTCTCTCTTTCCAAAGTCCAAGGAATCATCCTCTGTGCTGAGCTGTGACGTGTCTGTGGACGATAAGTACATAGTGACCGGCTCGGGAGACAAGAAAGCCACGGTGTACGAGGTCATTTACTGAGCGGGACTGACCAGAGCTGTTCGACCATCTCGCGACGTGTGAACAGGACATTGCTGACCGATCAGCCACTGCCCACGTGTTGATCTATAGCAGGGAGATGGGTGGGTGGGTGGGGGGGGGGGGGAAGCCGTCATAGTTATGGTGATGATGATGTTTTCTTCCCCTTCGAGCAAAACAACAAACTTGGCCTCTGGTCTGTACGAGAACTGGCTGTTTGCGCGTGATATTTGTGAAAAGTGTACAGATTTTTTTTTGAGAGGAAATAACATTATTTGGAGATTGGATTCATTGACTGACCATCGTTGTTCCTGCTTTCAACTGTTTGCAGTGTTCACTCTGCAGACTTGTTCAAACTGTGGTGTCGTGTGTGTGTGCGTGTGCGAGAGAGAGAGAGAGAGAGAGCGAGGAGCGTGATGTTTAGGGGGGAGGTGGAGGAAAACAAAATGAATGTTAATGCTGAGATAGTCAATTTAACGTGACGTTCAATCCTCCTCCCCGTAGCTAGTGGAAAACTCCCTCCTCTTTCTTCTCCCCCCCCCCCCCCCCCCCACAAGACATTTTTACACATGGATACTTAAAAATACTAAATACAAGTCGGAGAATCTTACGGCACAGAAAGAGCTGTGCCCGTGCCAACTTTTTGAAAGAGCTACCAACTAGTCCTACTCCCCCTCTCTTACCTCATCGTCCTCCATCATTTTTCCTCACTGGAGCCTGACAGAGAAGGAGTGTGGAGAGTGCTATTCCCTGAGCCAAGCAGACACTAATCTCTCTCTCTCGCTACTGAATGCCAGAGCTTTGGTCAGTAAAGTAATTGGACCTAAAGAGATAGATACCGAGATAGAAAAAGTCTCGCAAACGAAAATCACATACAAAATAGTTTATTGGGCTTTTTTTTAAAGGAGTAAACTACAAATCCATCCCAAAACTGGGATGTAGAAGCGAGAAACACAGGAGGGTGTTTTGAGGACGTTACAAATGCACCAATTCAGGCAAAAAAAAAATCCTTAATAGACAAGTCACAGAGGAATCGGAACGATTCTTCCCCACCCCCACCCCACGAGCTACATTTCAGGCACAGTTACTAACCAACGAGAATATAGAAGTCGGTAATTAGGGCACACTTAATGTATACAGCGGATGCCACATTTAATTTTTTTTAAATTCGGAAGTCAAACAAAAATATACACAACTTTTTTTGGTGGGAAGAGATGATGACCTTGGGTTTCGAGTGGATTGTGAGTAGGGGGCGAGGCCCAGGGCTCATGGTCAAGCCTGGGGTCGCGGTGAGATCTGAGCCCTGCCGTGGAGTTGGCTTTGGTGGTTTCTTGACAAGAGATACCCACTGTGCTAACCGCTCGCTCCCGTCTCCCACTGACTGGCCTGGGAACAGCCTGGACTTGGGCCAAGGAAGAGCAACCGATGCAGGACAATTGCGGAGGAAACTGGCTTGTGATTCAGGGACAACATGGGCTCTGAGAAGCCACCGTGGGGGGGGGGGGGCAGAGGACAAAGAGAGTCATACCCAGGAGATCAGCGGGGGCCGAAGGAGAATGAAAAGATTAACAAGCAAAACAACTCTTGTGAGTGTTAAAACTACCGGCTTTTCTGATGCACACGATGTGGCCTTAGATGGGGGGGTGGGGGCCTTTATGCAAGAAGGAAAAAAAGGAAATAAATTAAAGATAGCAACACACACACACACACACAGTGACCGGAAACAAGTACCAAGCTACCGCCATCTACACCCCGTTCTCCTAAACGACCCTCTCGTTCCACAAGACAATCTCCCCCCCCCCCCCCCACCCACCACCTTGACGGACATCTCCATTGATTTGGCAGGAAGGAACGGGGCTGTTGATCTCACTGTTCAGTCTCGACGGCAATTAATTAAATCCTTGCCAGGCCGTAATATCGATGGCAAGCTGTGCGGTTTTAGCCGGTTAAAGACTCCCAGCAGTTACACTAATGCACACTCTGGGCTCCCCCACCAACCCCAAGCCTCGTCTCTTGCCAACCTGCGCCTATTACTTTCCGGAATTAGGTAAGCAGGATGTGTCCCTCCAGGGAAAGAGAGAGGGAGGGAGAGAGAGCGCATTCCATTCCAACAATCTATCTCCGTGGGTGGGTGGAAGGCATGGAATTCCCAGTTTGGTTTGGGAGACTCTTTTAAGCAACAGTGATGGGTTTTCAGTGTGTGTCAAGACACCGCCAAAAAGCAAACGGATTAAATCCTCGTTAAAAAATCACAGCCGCAAACAGCCTCTCGCACACAGGACAGGAGGAGCAAATGAGAGTCTCGCTGCTTCGAGCAATTTCAAGGAGCGGACGGAAAATAGCCGTTCTTTTTCAGGAAAAAATAAGGTTTGGACTGAGCCAGCTTTTTTTAAAAAAAAAGAAAACAAACGACAGATCCATTTAACGTTTCCAATAAAGACATTTCTTTTAAGAATTAAAAAAAAAGGCAGTCATGCCCCAATCGTCACCCAACAACCCCCGGTTAACGATCCCAAAGGTGGATTAGGGGAGAGACGAAAACATGTAAACGTGAGCAGGAAAGGGAATGAAAAGATGAGCGTAACGTGTGCGTGTGTGGATACAAAAAAAAACTTGAAAAAAAATAACACAATAAAACCCATTCACAAAGACATCAGCGCTGTTACCCTAACCTTTACACCGAAGCTGGAGATGAAAGTGTTGTGGGCAGTCTTGGGAGCCGATGCTTCAGAATCCCCTTCAGCGACCTGTTTGGCCTTCTCTTGTCTTGTCGTAGATCCCCTTCTGTTAAAGTAAAAGCTTTCAGGATCCGAGTCACAGTCACCCCCAGCAGTCGCCCAGTGAGGACCGAGTGGAAATGCAACTTCTTTCTTGGATTAAATGGTGAATTGATCCAGGTTCGTGCCTCAGCTCTCTCTCTCTCTCTCTCTCTCTCTCGCAGCATGTTCTGTACATCATTTTTCTCCTCCGCTCGGAATCCCCTCAGTAAATCACCTCGTAGACTGTGGCTTTCTTGTCCCCTGAGCCCGTGACCACGTATTGATCATCGGTGGAGATGTCACAACACAAGACTGACGACGATTCTTTGGACTGGGAAAGGAAAGGGATTTATTATTAATTAATAAATAATTAATAATTCGGTCACTCAATCCAACGTTGTTTGTGGGACATGGCTGCTGGGTTTCGCCCACAAAATATAGGGTCAATTTGCTTTACAGTAAATCCTGTGAAGCGCTTTGAGACGTCTCAATGATGTGATAAGGCGCTATATCCAATGTAAGGTTTATTATTATATAAAGGAATTTATTAAGAGTAAAAGCACACTGGGGAAATGGCGGGTGACAGACAGTAAAGTACAGTAAAACTCGCATAAATGTGCATAAATTGTATAATCGCCCAAGTCTCACATCTGCCCGTTCAAGAGTTTACCTTCTATGCAAGTTTGACATAACTCATACTTTGCATAAGTCATATTAAACAAATGGCCCGACTGGTACGACTTATGTGAGCTTTACTGTAAGAAGCGCTTTGAGACGCCTCGAAGACGTGATAAGACGCTACATCAGGCACAAGGATTATTATTATTGTTGTAAATAAAGAGAGAGCAGAATCCGGGCCGAGATATCCCACTTATCTCTATGTTCAAAAGCTCCTTTGTTTCCTACCTGGAATATACTCGCTCCGTACGGTACCCTCCACGCGTTAAGTAGGTTATCCTTCCCAGTGCTTATAAACCATTTACCTGCAAGTCAATGGTCTACACGTCAGTCAACACAAGCGAACAGGAGTGGGGGCGACTCCAGACATAAAACTGTCAACTGCATTACCAGAGAGAGGGGAGATTTGGCTCCATCATTCAGTGAAGCCCCCGTTAAAACGCAGTGGTGGTCGCCAACCACAGGTGGTTTTTTTTGGTGGGGGGTGGGGTGAGGGGTGGGGGGAGACACGATAGCCGGTCTCACTGAGCATGTGCGGTCCTGCGCGAAAAAGAACCGCCGACTTCCGGGCCAGGAGGTCTCTGCCGGGTTACTTCCTGCTTTCCGCGTTGAAGGAGGTTGAAGGAGGAAGTGATGAGGGGGAAGTGATGAGTGAAAAGGAAACATCTGCAGGGCTATGGGGCGGGGCGGGGTGGGGTGGGGGGGGGGTGAGGGGGAAACGGTAAGAGAGGGACGAGCTGGTGGCTCTTTCAAAGATGGGCCGAATGGCCTCCTTCTACGCTGGCAAAAATAAACGGGACCCTGGTCTCCTTTCGCCCGGCAAACTCTTGTGAATCCGCGGAGGGAGGAAGGAGTTGGGGTTCTTACCGCAGTAGGCGAACTTGAGGGACAGCACGCAGTTCTCGTGCAGGTGCAGCTGGTACTTGTCGGGTTTGTTGACGTGCAGAACCTCCACGTTGCTGCTCTCTGTGCCGACCGCCAGCCATCCCCCGGTCGGGCAGCAGCCGAGTGCAAATATCTGCCCACACACAGAGAGAGAGAGAGAGAGAGAGAGTGAGACGCACACGCTCTGGCCTCCTGCTTGTCCCTTGTCCCCTCCACCAGCCCCACTTTCAGCCGCTACGCCCCAAAGCTTTGGAATAACCCCCTCCCCCCACACTCCCTCTGCCTTGCCCTCCACTCCTTCATTCCCCTCTTTCAGATCACGACTGAAGATCTTCCCCTTCGACCGCGATTCCAGTCACCTCCCCAACCCCCCCCACCCACCCCGGCCCGGTGTCGAGCTCCGCCACGGTTGTATCTCAGTGACGCTGCCCTGTGTGAAGGAGGCTGTTGCTGTAAGAGCACTGCAGACGGTGGTCAATCAGGCGCAGTGTACCTGTGAGGCAAAGTCATGCTGATGCATCTGCCGTCCTTCCCTCAGGTCCCAGCACCTGACTGTGTTGTCCAGGGCTCCTGTCCACAGCCGAGTCCCGTCGCTCGAGATGTCTGTGCAGCTGACGCCGTCCGAGTGTCCCTGGAACTGCCTGCAATCCAGAGGAGAAGCGTCGAAACCAGACCATTTCTCTCACAAACTGTGCAACAACTCCTCTCTGCCACAGAGGAGCCCCACAACAACAAGACAGACCCTGCAGTGATTTCAGCCACTAACGACCCCCCTCCCCACCCCACCGAAGCTTTGGAACGCTCTCCTTCAACCCCTTCACCTTTCCCCACTTCCTTCCCCATTTTTAGATCACGACTGAAGACCTTCCCCTTCGACGGCGCTTACGGTCTCCCTCCCTCTGGCTCTGGGTCAAGCTCCATCACGGTTCAGCGCTCTCTACGTCAAACCCTCCCTCCCCCCCCCTCTCTCTCTCTCCCTCCCTCCCCCCCTCTCTCTATCTCCCTCCCTCCCTCCCTGCCGCTCGCACACAGAAAGAAGCTCAGGCTGTGAATCGCCAACTCGCCTGATCAGGGTTTCGTTGTGCAAGTCCCAAACGAAGATACTGCCGTCGCTGCAGCAGGAGAAGCAGACCTTGGCGTCGGGGCTGATGGCCAGGGCGTAGCAGGCGGGGGCCGAGGAGGTCAGCTCGGCCTTGATCCTCAGGGTGGGGGCCGCCAGGTCCCAGATCGACAGCGTGCTGGCCTCCCCCCCCACGATCAGGGTCCGGCCGTCGGGGAACAGCTTACACGTGCGGATATAATTGTCTCGGTTCTGGGGCGGGGGAGAGAGAGTGAGATGAAGAGAGAGAAAGAGGGATAGACACACAGAGAGAGAGAGAGAGAGAGACAGAGAAAAGAGTAGAGGGGGGAAAAAAAGGAAAGATATCTCAAAGCGCCTCGCGGGGGGGGAAATAAAAGGGACAGAACGGTGGTTTGTTTACCAGGCAGTCGAGCTGGGAGACTGGGCTGCGGTTGCCAGGCTGACTGATGTCCCAAACCTTGACGCAGCCCTTCCCCCCCGTGTAGACGTGTTTGGTGAAGTGACTGACGGCCACAGCGCAGACCACCTCCCCGTGCGGGAGGGTGTGGAGCTGCCGGGCGTGACGTGGGATCCCGGGACCGCTCAGCGCATCCGTGGGGAACGCCACCGGCTGCATCTGTCTGTCGGCTCCAACGTGGAACGAGTAGGCGCTGAGGGGGGGAGAGGGAGAGAGAGAGAGAAGCCGGGTTACAGTACAGTAAAGCTGACGTTTCATCTGGTCGTCACCGCACGAGAGGACGGTGGGAGAGGACACGGGCGGCCACTTCCCAAATCCCCGAGCTCAACAGTACGCTGCTCACACACAGCGAGAGAGAGAGACACACACACACACACAGCCAGAAACACACACTGATACACATACACACACGGGCACACACTGATACAGACACAGAGAGAGGAGAGAGAGACACACACACACAAAGCAAGTGAGAGAGACACACACAAACACACGGGAGATATTCTGGAGGTGAATTATTTCACATCACTTACGGTTTCCCTGCAGACAGACTGACTGGAACTCCTGACGCCCGTTTGTGAGAATGGGACTCGAAGCCGGACTGACAATGAGAGAGAGAGAGAGAGAGAGAGAGAGAATGGTTAGGAACATCTGACAACAGGCACCAGAGACCTGACGATCCCTCTGGTCTCCACCCGTCTGACCTCGTTAAGTCTGCGCAGAGTTTCGAAATACCCTTACGCCCGGGCTGAAGGCTGAAGCCACTTGTTAAGAAACCTAAAGCACAAAGCCCGAGCAGGAGGGGGGGACAGAGAGAGGAGGGGGGGCAGAGACACTCACCACACCGGAGCGACCGTACGCGGTTGCGGAGGTGGCCCCGTTGAGCTGGGCCGAGGCGTAGTGTAATCCTGCGTACGCCCCCGCACCCGCCATCCCTCCGTTAACGGAGGAGTGGACCATCCCGAAGGGCACCGGGAACGGGCCCTGCACTGCCAGAGGGGTCTTCAGTCCTAGAGCTGGAGACGAGGGGAGGGAGAGTGGGTCAGTCAGTGAGAGAGATACAGACAGTGTGTGGGTGTGTGTGCAGGTGTGTGTGGGTGGGTGGGTGAGTGTGGGTGGGTGAGTGTGTGGGTGGGTGTGTGCGTGTGTGTCGGTGGGTGGGTGTGTGTGTGGGTGGGTGAGTGTGTGGGTGGGTGAGTGTGTGGGTGGGTGGGTGAGTGTGTGGGTGGGTGAGTGGGTGGGTGAGTGTGTGGGTGGGTGAGTGTGTGTGTGGGTGGGTGAGTGTGTGTGTGTGGGTGAGTGTGTGGGTGGGTGAGTGTGTGGGTGGGTGGTGAGTGTGTGGGTGGGTGAGTGGGTGGGTGAGTGGGTGAGTGTGTGTGTGGGTGGGTGAGTGTGTGTGTGTGGGTGGGTGGGTGAGTGGGTGAGTGTGTGTGTGGGTGGGTGAGTGTGTGTGTGTGGGTGGGTGAGTGTGTGGGTGGGTGAGTGTGTGTGTGGGTGAGTGTGTGTGTGGGTGTGTGAGTGTGTGGGGGGTGGGTGGGTGGGTGGGTGAGTGTGTGGGTGGGTGAGTGGGTGGGTGAGTGGGTGGGTGGGTGGGTGGGGGTGGGTGAGTGTGTGTGGGTGGGTGAGTGTGTGTGTGGGTGGGTGAGTGTGTGGGTGGGTGAGTGTGTGTGCTGTAAACGTGTAATGTTGTGGCTGCGGTTACCGAGGGGGTCTGTGGACGGGGCTTTGCTGGAGCCGAGCTGGGATGAGCCGCTGCTACCGGGCGTGGCGGGGTCGCTGCGGGAGCTGGGGAGGGGGGACTTCAGGCCGGGGGTGCTGGCTTTCTCACTCTGCAGACAGGGAACATAACAACAACAACAACAAGAGTTAGCATAGAGACTCTGTCAGCGCTGGACGCACATACACACACACAGCGGGCGCTGACGCCAGCCGCCAGCCACCGATACACCCAACACCTCACTCGGCCGGGCCAGAACCTGAGTGACCCTCAACTGTCCTGCCAACCCCACATCCATGCCGTGACCCCCCCCCCACCCCAACCTCCGCCACATGCCCTGGCCCCTTCCCTATCTCTCTGACCTGCTTACCCCCCCTACCCCACTACCCGCTGCCTCTGCTCGACGGGCACTGGCCTTCCCCACATGTCCCTCGTGCCCTCCGTTCCAACGACGGGGGCCGCGATTTCCGCTACTGCGGAAACTCTGGAACACTCTTCCCCTATCCCTCCCTCCACCTCGCCCCTTCCTTCTCCATCTTCAGGTCATACCCGAAGACTTTCCCCTTCAACCTACGGTCACCTCCCCCCTCTGGCCACCGGCTCGGGGTCATGCTCCGCCGTTGTCAAGCGCTCTGGGACTCTGCCCTGAGCGAGGGGGCGCTGTGCAAGTGCAAGTTGTTGATTACAAGTGCAGGGGGAGTGGCTGTGGTGAGCTTACCCCTGGGGGTTCCTTGCCCTTCAGGGGCGGAGTGCTGCTGGAGGACACCAGCGAAGTGGGGCTGTTGAGTGGGTTCTTCCTCCGCACGTGGAGCTTGTCCAACCCGTTCTCCGCGGCCGACTGGGAGGGGCTGCTGTGGGGTGACGCGGCTTCCTGTGCAGAGGGGGGAGTTGGGGGGTAAGAGGTTAATCCAGAGAAGGCAAGAGATGGTTAAAAATGAACACGCACAGTGGTGGCTTCCTGGGAGCTGATAGGGAACCTTTCACCCCTTCTAGCCTGTTTCTCACCGCCCTCCCCCCCCACCCAACTTACAGGGACGGGGGGGGAGAGGGGTGGCAAAGGTTCGACACGCATGTTTTAATGCAATTTTGGGAGGTGGGGGGAATGGACATTGCTGTATAATAATCCTTACGTATGACACAGTGCCTTATCCCATCTTCGAGACGTCTCAAAGCACTTCACAGGATACACTGTGAATTGACTGTGTTTTGTGGGTGAAAATACTGTAAAGTGGGTATTTTTTCTGTATGTAAACTGACTGCTATCACTAGCGCTCGGAGATGTTCCCCCTTGAATGCAAGGATTATTGTTATAGAAGGCAAACCACCCCCCCCACCCTCCCTCCCGACTCTTCTCCCCCACCAACTCCCCGCCCCCCCACCCACCCTGGTCACGAGGACAAGCGAAGTGTTAAAAAGCTCAGTCAGGTCAGGCCAGCGAGAGACTGTCGACAGCAGGGGAGGGCGGGTGTGCGGAGGCGTTGGGCTGGGCTGCTCTCTCAGGGCTGTGCAGACACAAGGAACCCCGTCACCATGATGGATGGCGGTGAGACTGAGCCGTCGTGTCCCGGGAGCCCCCACTCTCCCCAAGTGACTGATGAGCTGCTCGCTTTGCTGGTCACATCCATCATCAACCGGTCACTGAATCATGAGGGGGGGGGGGAGGGGGGGAGAGAGAGAGAGAGAGAGAGAGAGAGAGGGGAAAGCGCGAGCAAGCGAGCGATCTACACACATCTGTGCATTTACTTATAAAACAAATCTGCGGCATTTATTTATTCAGGGCTCCTGCAATCCTTCAGAATCACAACACAATCTTTCCAACCAGCCTCCTCCCGACAACGTCCGCACCATTGAGCCCAGCGGTGATTGATTGATTGATTGATTGATTAGATTGTCAATCAGTGCTGCCCTGGAGCATCAGGCGAGATCTCTGAAATTGGGGCATTCACTGTGGGTCAGAAGGTTCAGGGTTCAAGCCCCCAGTGGTGATAGAGCGATCGGCTGACACAATTAACCCAGACATAAACGATTGCCTTTGCTCACCTCGTTGGAGACATCGACCACCAGGTTGTCATCGCTTTTGTCATCATCGCTTTCCTGTAAACAAAGGCGAGGAATTTCAGGTTAATTTCCGCACGGACACACATCTCGGGACATGTTCTGTGAAGCGCTTTGAGGCGCTGGGTCAAATGGAAGGATTAATATTATTTTCCCGACTCCACAGGTGTCCAGGGCTGAGCGTTCCAGGAAGCAACACTTCCTGACCTCAGGTCTAACGTATAGCCATTGGCAACTCACTGGGGAACATGGTCAGACCCCTGCGGTCATTAAGACACCCACACACACCCCCACAAAGACCAAACCAAACTCAAACTCACGTAGTCGTTCACCGAGCCGCTCTCCTCCGTCTTTTTCTTCTTGAGGTGGTTGGGATAATCCGCGGAGTTCCGGGGTTTTTCCCCGTTGGACGAGTGCAGCGAGCTCTGTGAGAGACGAGGGGCGAAAAAAAAAAATTAGATTGAAATAAAAGTCTCACGAGGCACAGGGCGAGAAGCAACCAAATAAAATCGACGTTAATCACACGATCACGAGAGGGAGGGAAGGAGGGAGTCGGGGTGAAGACCCTTCTGCCCCAATGGACCTCACCCTTTGAGAATCTTCCTCCTCACCCCACATCCTGACCATCTTCCCATCAGTGTCCAGGTATTTTTGTGGAGGCTTTCCAGTTCTTCCCCCATCCCACCCTTCCAGTCGTTAGTTTATCTTCTGTGTAAAAAAATACTTCCCCCTCCCCTACCCCCACCCAAACACACGCTCTCCCCTCTCACTGCTACTCCCCACGTGAGGGGCCACTGACAATAAACTGAGCAGTTAAACAGCTATGTTATGCCCGTGTTTGTCAGGAACACTTTTTTTTCTTGTGGGTGGTGTATTTTGGTTCCTTTGCATCTGCCCGAAAATCAAGCAGCCAGACAGGAAGTAAATTAATAACACCACCGATAGAACGGGAACGGTGATCTGGGACCCGGTCCAATTATCATCTCAGGAGAGAACACGAGGCAACCAGAAAGAGTCCCGACTCCTCTCGCTAAAGGGGAACCTGTTAGTGTTGCTGTAACCCAAGCCAGACCACACAGCTCCACTGTCAGAGACTGTGCAATGCAACCAGACCCCAGACCGCATCAATGCTCACCACAGGTCTAAATGGTGAAAATGTGTGCGGTGGGAAGAGGGAACTGAGTCAGCAAATGTTAAGTGGATTGTTGCCTCAGTTCCATACCGCACTGGAGCCTCCGGGGGGAAGGGGTGTGGGGAGGTGGAGGGGGGGGGGGGTGGAGAAAGGGGGAGATTAATCATTCAAGCTGCGGTGGCTATTAAAATTCTATGATTCTGTGGGCTATGGGGTAAGAGCGGGGGAGTGGGACTACTTGGTAGCTCTTTCAAAGAGCCGGCACGGGCACGAGGGCCTGGGCTGAATCGCCTCCTTCTGAGCTGTAAGGCTGCGTGATTCTCATTGTGGGACATTGTGCAAGCTTTCCCGCGGCTCGTCCAGCCAGGACCACCCTACCCATTAGGGCTTTGGCTTTGCGGGGCTAACAAGAGCTGAGTGGGAGGATTCCCTGCCCCCCCCCCACCCCACCACCCCCAATCCCTCAGTGACTGGTCAATGAGATCAAAAGGGCTAAAGCACCGCCCTTACGCAAACCTCCCACGTGCCGGCAAGAAAGGGGTTAAATTCTCGGCCAAGCCACGGTTTAACGACACGAAGCTAAATGCCTGAACAGCGGTAGATTCCCGTCTCCCTCTTTCCTGGTTGCGTGATCAGTGTGTACACCGAGGCAGCTAATTATTAATAAGCAAGGCAAGCAAGCGTGACAGATGTACTACATCTCTGTCAACACATTCCCCGCGGGCAAAGAGACACACAAACACACACACACAAACACGCACACACACACACAGCGTCCGTTAACGGAAAGCAACGAATAAGAGATTTGCAACTCCCCCCCACTCCCCACCACCACTCTCTCTCTCTCTCTCCCTCCCCCAAAGCATTCGCGTTGCTGTGATATCCTCCCGAGATTTTATTCCCCCGGACGGGGACACTTCGTAAATGCAAGTTGTTGTTGCTGTTTCCACATGGCTCACATCAAATTTTGCTCACAAACATAATCCAGGTCAGTCCACTACACTCAGGCACCATTTTAATAATAAGACGTTCATCGGATTTGATGATAATAATAATTAGGTCACTCAGTCCACGGCTGTTTGCGGGGACGCTGCTGTGCGCAATTGGCTGCTGTGTTTCGCCCACAAAATACACTTTGCAGTATAATCCTATGGTGCGCTTCCAGACGTCTTGACGACGTGATAAGGCGCCGCATCAAATGAAAGGGTGATATATTAGTTTAAGTCGTGATTTAAGACGACTGATCCCTTTAACCAACAAGAGGCACAGAGCACCGGGAAAGGTTGTGAAAGAAGCAGAATCATAGCCCCAACTCAAAACGCATCAGTCAAACCAGATCACAGCGATTTCCACGTTGCACGTTTAGAGATAGTCTATTTATTCCCACTCGATGGGTCACCGACAGTGGCATGCCCTTCAGACCAGAGAACAAGAGAGGCCCTGTGTGCCTTACACAGCTCAGTCGTTCATTCATTCACTCGTTCATAGACTTGATTTCATTTCACAACATACAAGAGCCAAAATGCGACTACTCACCGTGCTTTGCTCTCGATCTGCTTCCAGCGTCAGTGACCCCCCCACGAGGAAAAAAACAAGAACGAACAACAATTAGGCCACAGATTTTTAATAACACGCCAGCTGACAAAGCACAGTCACTACGCTTTACAGCGAATCCTGTGAAGCGCTTCGAGACGTCTTTCACACGTGATACGGTATATTACATGCAAAGATAATTATTATTAATATGAATAATAATAATAATACTAGGAGATTCTGTTCCAAAGACTCGGCATGTTTGCATTCATCCCAACGCCTCCCATTCCCCCACGTGGGAATGTTATTTTAGCAAATTTGCCGTCTTCAAGACGAGACAACACACGATCAGTTGATGGGAGGAGGATCCGGGGAGAGGGAGGTGGGTACTGGGGGTGGGGGGGGAAGACACTGTCCACCACTCTATCCCCCCCCAGCCCCCCCACCCAGTCAACCTCCAGTCACATTTCTACAAAGGTTTTTATTAGACAGTCACATTTCTGCCTTAAAAAAAGTGGGTTTCATTGGTCTGGCAAGAAGGTTAGGAGGTTGGGGGTCGGGCTAGGACGTTGGGGGTCGGGCTAGGACGTTGGGGGATGGGCTGCTGGGATGTCCCTCACCTCGGTGATGCTCCAGTAGATCTTGATGGTTCTTGTCTTCCTTCAAGGCAAAAGGGGGGTGAGCGGCCAGGGCGTTGGAGAGGGCGAGGAGCCCCGAGCCGGCCCCGATGGAGGACATCCCGGGGATCTGCAGGCCGGAGGGGTGGAGAGCGAGGGGGAACGGTGACGTGTGGTGGGTGAGGTGCTGGGGTTGGAAGTGATGCTGTTCCCAAACAGGAGAGAAAAATATAAGACTCGTTAGAATTAGGGTTCTGCGCGCACCTCATAATGGCTGTGCGCGTGCGAGTGTGCGCGTGCGTGCGAGTGCAAGTGTGCGCGTGCACGCGAGTGTGCAAGTGCTGGGGTGGGGGGAAGGTAAGGTAAGGAAACGCAGGAGAACGGGACAGAGCAGAGAGCTCGCACAATCTGCTTCGATTAACTTGAGGCGTCCTCCGCACGTGAAGGGAGCTACGTAAATAAGAGTTGTGTTAGAGAGATAAAAATAAGGAGAGAGCGAGAGGGAGGGAGAGAGAGAGAGAGAGAGAGATAAAGTGAGAGAGAGAGAGAGAGAGAAAAAAAGGAGAATAGAAAGAAAAAAAGACATTGGCAACGCTGTGCTGAAAGGGGAGAGGAAACCGGCAGAGGAGAAGGAAGGGAATGTGGGTTGAGAGCCGAGGTCTCCAACCAATTGCCACAACACTTCGCCTTCAAAGCCGTTCACAAGAGACAGCCCTTTCCATCCCCAGCGTTGGCAGCTCTCCACAAAGTAAGATAGTAAAGCCCTCAGCACAACAACTCCACCGCAAAGCTCGCTCACTCTCTCTCTCTCTCTCCTTCTCTCTCTCACATCTGGGTCCAGTGGGGGGAAACACTCACAGGCTGTCGTTTCCCTGAACTCCACATTTGCACATTTCAGTTTAGAAGGGGATTGATTGCCAATCGCAAAGCCAAGTCCAATTAGCACCGACTGTGTGTGTGTGTGTCTCTCTCTCTCTCTCTTTCTTTCTCTCTCTCTCTCTCTCTTTCATTCTGCTTCTCTTTCTCTCGCAGTGGGCAGCATTGCCACCGACTGACTCTCTGTCGGAAAAAAAAAACGCTCCCAGATTCATTGGCTATATTTTCAACTAAATCGCTCACCAGGAGCCTGAGACTGAGAGCCAAATGTTTCACTCGCTCGCTCGCTCGCATACTGCCCATGAGAGCACTACCAAGGGATTCACTGCTCTACACATCCATCAGCTGTTGGGAAGCACTGGAGGGCGTTCAAATGGGAGACTCCACAATGCAGGAATACTGGGAATGGGACAACAAAGTAAATCTCAGTGACAGGAAGTCTCGCTCCTTAACACGATGACACTGCAGTAATACAGTAATACAGCACCTTTCACCCCAAATAAACATCCATCTCAACGGCGCTCCCCAATAGGGGGGTGGGGGGTGGGGGGAGAGGCATGAGCTGTGCCAAGATGACTGTGAACCCACAGAACAGAGTGGGTGGGCACATGGCCCCTCAGCCGCTGCCCCCCCCACCCCATAAATAGCGAGGAGGGTACGTACCGGTGGAGGCAGGATGGGAAGCCCCCGCACGCCGATGGCTGCGTTCAGCTCCCCCATCGTCACCTGTTTGGCTCGTTCGATGGTCTGGATCACCTGCTGCTGGTGCTGGAGAACAGACACCAAAGGTCTCAACCACACAGAGGTCACAGCAAGGGGAGGGTGGACACGAGAGAGAGGGAGAGAGAGAGAGAGAGAGAGAGAGAGGGTGGGGGAGAAACGGAGAAAAGAGAGAAAGAAAGTTCTCGCATTTCATCAGCTCCAAACCTAAAAGGGTCGGATTGCTGCTGGTGTTTTGACGGATTTTTAAAAAAAAACAAAGAATCATTTGTGCAAATGGCAAGGATGCGGAGAGGAGGGGGGCCGTGGGGTTCGAGTGGGGGCGAGGGGGCTGTGGGGGGAAAGGTAACTGAGATTATGTCCCGTCAGCCCACAGGAACTCAGTCGCAATTTACTTCCAAGTCAGCGGGAATTCGAAGCAGAGTTCTCGACTGAGGCCTGATAATAACCCAACTCCAGGGGGGCAAAAGAGAGAGAGAGAGAGAGAGAGAAGAGAGGCAGAGACAAGAGGGCTAAAGAGAAAAAAAGGTTTACGTCTAAAATAAAAATTAATCCTGTGCGGAAGACGAAACAACACTCACCTCTTGCGATAAATAAGGCAGCAGTTGGGCACAGATGACATTGAGCCTTTTGGCTATCTCAGTCTGCAGTGGAGAGAACAGAAAATTGTTGAAAAGAAACACAAGAGACACTCAGAAGCTTTGTGTGAGCTTCCCACTGACTGTCCATATGGGAACATGGGAACAGGAGGAGGCCATTCAGCCCCTCGAGCCTGTACCGCCATTCTATTAGATCATGACTGACCTGTATCTCAAGTTCATTTACCTGCCATTGCTCTGTATGCCTTGATACCCCGACCTAACAAACATATATCCACCAGACACCCAGTGACCGACCGACCGACCAACCAACCAACCAACCGACCGACTAACTAACTAATGCTCGTCAGTGATTATTGTCGCTGCCTCTCTGTGCGAAGCTGGAACGAAGGAAACAGCAGCAAACGGACGGACAGGCCAAATGGCTGGTGGGCCCGGGAGACTTCATTATGCCCTGTTTCCGGCGTTATTAAAGCACAACAGAGAGCGGATCATTAATCTGCAGCCTGATTAATTGGGCACGCCAGCCACGCAACACAACCACAATCTGTTCCCCCACACCCCCCTTCACACCACCCCCACCGCCACACGGAAGACAGTGGAAAGCCCGTGAGAGGCAGGAGTTAAAGGAAGCCAAGCAGGATACAGTACAGTCTATAGTTTGGGACACAACATGTGCAAATGACTGCCAGGATGGTGGAAGGTGAACTAGATGGGCCTTAAGTCTTCTTCCCCCCCACCCCGAGAAAATCCTTGTGTTCTAAATCTGCCCCAGTCACGTCCCAAACCCAAGCAGGGGCCAGGCGGGCGGGGAAGGGTTAAAGCTGCCACAAAGCCAGTGGGAGGCAGGGCAAACTAGAGGGCTCGCTAACTGGCTCTCTCGCTCACTGGCTGGAGAGATAATTCGGGAGCCGCCAGCATTTAACAAGGTGTTATTTAAAGTCCCCCAGGAGAGACGATGATAGATCTTCCACGTTTGTCCTGTGTAAGGCGGGCGGCAGCACTTTGGGGCTGCGGTTCCTGCTGCACTTACGCTCATTAATAAATCATTTACAGGCTATTTGCGTTCGCCATGGGAAATCAAAAATTCTCCAGCATATCACAAATGGATTATTTGCTAGCTGATTCGTCTCTCTTATACACGGTGTCAGGCAGCGAGTTAAATGGTTTGGTGGCACCTTAAACCCTCCGAGTAGGAGAGAGAGAGAGAGAGAGAGACAGTGAGAGACAGGGGAGGAGAGAGAGAGAGAGAGAGAGAGAGAGCGCGAGAGGGTGAGGAATGCATGTTTTATCATCATTTCGTTTCCCTATTTTGTAAGGGAAGAAACTCTCTCCCCCAACCCCCACCCCAAGAGGATATCACTCATCTAAAATCAACAGAACTGGGAATCTAGACCCCATCACACAGCCACAATCCCCCCCCCCCCACACCCACAGCACCCCCACCACTCTCCATCCACCAATCAGAGTCCCTGCACTCCCCAACCCAATAACACCACCACCAAAAATGCAACTTGTTGCTGGTGTAAAGTGCTCATTCTTTCCAAAGAAAACATCTGCCTCTTCAATACCCCCCTCCCACACCTGCACCCACACCCCCACCCACCCACCGCGGCCCCCACACACCCACACCCCCCAAACGCACACACACAGGAAAAATAACAGTCATCCTTGCATTTGATACAGCACCGATAACGTCCAAACGTTTCAAAGCGTTTCCCAGGGAATAGCTGCCCTTATGACTTGGGTATATGTTTGGACACGAACACAACAGCAATGTGTTGGATGTGCCTGCGTGCAAACAGCCATAAAGTGAGCGACTAATTTATCTGCAACAGCGTTGGTCAGGACACCGGGAGGAACTCCCTTCTCTTCCTGAAGCATCGCATGGATCCTTAATGTACACCTGAACGTCTCACCCAAAGAACCATGTTGTCACCATCCCCCAAAGTACTGGACTGAATCCAGCTCTGCACTGTACCCCTCTCCACCCATCGCCACCCACACACAAAAGAATAATGACATCCATTTATTAATGTTAACTAATCAATTAATCAATCAATTGGCTGCCGGGTTTCGCCCACAAAACACTGTCAATCCACTTTACAGGAGACTCTGCGCTTTGAGACGTCTCAACAACCTGATAAGGCGCTTTATCAAATGTAAGGATTATTATTAATAATATGATTATTATTATTAACCCATTCCAAAGAGAATAAGCAAAGATTTAATATATTTTTTATATATATATATATATATATAAAAAATTCCACTTCAGTACATTTGTAATTAAAATTTTATTTAACCTGCTCCGAATGTGGGGTGAAATGGCTGCCAGCCTCCAGCTGAAGCTCTAACAGTTTGCGGTGGGATCTGTCGAACAGTGGGGGACACTTCAAATTCATCACACGCCCTGCTAGTTCCGACAACCATTCCTCTTATTAAGACTTGTGCGCATCAATTATTCAAATCATTATTTATTAAAGCCAAACACTAAGTGTACGAATTAGAAAACTCGTATAAGTTAAAGGATCCTACACAGCCTCCTTCCTCGCGCTCTCACTCTCTCTCTCTCTCTCTCTCTACCGACTTGGTGACCGGACGACGACGACAACAACAACAACTTTCATTTAATCCACCGCTTGTGGGGACGGACGCTGCTGTGCGCAATTGGCTGCCTCGTTTCATTCACAAAACACACAGATCAATCCGCTTTACGATATATTCTGGGAAGCGCTTTGAGACGTCAGAGAGAGAGAGAGTGAGACCAGAGAAAGAGATAGACACACAGACACCAGGCAGTGTTCGGATATCGACCGCTACGTCCCTTAGGGTTTGGGCAACACTTTGGATCCATCAATAGTTGTAACAGCGCGAGTAGGAAATCCAATTCCACACAAACAGGAAGCACTTTATCCTCTCTCCACCACACCCCCCCCCCCCACTCCCCCCCACCCCATGTCCCCCTGGGTACACTAACACCAGACACACACACATTTTTCTCAATAATTTTAGACAAGATAGAGACAGACAGAGAGGAAGATGCACACACATACACTCAAAAATAAAGACACACACACACACACACACACACAGAGGCGCATACACAGAGAGAGACAGACAGAGGCAGACCCGCACAAGCACACAGCAGTTCCAAGAGACGCAGGGGGTCAGCTCGCTCACCAAACGCAGTCGATTCCCCATTTGTGACAGAAATCCCGATAATGGGCCTTAAATGAGTTGGAGCGAGTCATTGCTTCATCTTTCTCATGCATAATAAGTCACACCATCAAGTAGAAAGCCAACCCAGCCCGCTGACACAGGCCAGGAGACACGCCAATTACTGCAGCACTTCTTCCCCCCATTGATTAAAAACATCCAAATTTACAAGATTTGAAAGCAGATTTTTTTTTTGCCGAGAGAAGGGATCCCAGAGTGGGAGCTGGTGTCAATGTTCTCTCTCTCGCTCTCTCTCTCCCCCCATCTGTCTCTCCCTCTCCCATTCCATTAAACAACTGTCCCATTTCACGACATAACAACAGGGAGAATTCCCCCCACCACACACACACACACACACACACACGTGCGCGCACACACACACGCACACACCCCCTCCTGTTTCTAATCTGTAGCATTTCGGAACGTACAGCATTTGCCAAATTTGACTTTACACAAGAACATGAGAATTTGGTCGACCACAGAAGACCAAAGGTCCAACCAGTTCGCCTTCCACCATCCTGACCGTCGCTCACACGTGAACAATTCTGAACGCCTGTATTTTTTTTTCCATGAAGTTTTCAGCCATTCCGCCCCCGCCATCCGACTCCTTCCTCCCCCACCTCAATTTCAAAGCCACCGCAAGGTCTCTCTTTTTGTCCTTTCAGTCATCTTCCCCTCTTCTCCCCCCCACTCCCCCCCACAAAACCGCTCCGCTCTGTATATTTCCACTCATTAAACCTCATCAACACCCCCCAGCCACCCCCCCACCGCCCCATTCCCTCTTGTACTTACTTGCTTATGCATTTCCAAGTTTAAGCCGTACGACATCTCGTAATACTGGAACAAAACAAGAAAATGCACTCGTCAGGAGAGCGTTTGGAAATAAAATCTGAGGCAAAGAGAATTAAAACAACAAGAGAAAAGCATCGTGACTCACTCGCAGACGCTGTGAGAGGTCAGGCTGCGCGAGAGCACTACATAAATGCAAGTTGTTGCTCATTGGGATCAATGGGAAATGATATCACAAAGTATTGGGATTTTGTTCTGGGGTCAGACTGCGAGTTAAGCAATAATAATTCTTGCATTTGATACAGCGCCTTATTACGTCGCTGCGACCTCTCAAAGCGCTTCCCAGGATACACTGTAAAGTGTAGTGACTGTGTATATTGTTGTGGGCCAACGTGGCAGCCAACCGGGGTGGAGGAGGGGGCAAGGACATGCTGAACCCCAATATTAGTCACTGTTTGGTTGCTCCTCGGACTCACCATCACATAGTGTCGTTGCATCTCAGTCTTTTCACTGGCCAGCTTCTCACACTCCATTTTAAGGCTGAAAAAGAAAAAAAAACACACGGAGGTTAGGTTTAATAGAAAAGGAACGTTAGAAAAACATTTAAAAAAATTGGGGGGGCGGTGGGAGGTGGGGTGGGAGAGGTGGCAGAACAACATCCCACTAAAACTCACCCCTCGGGCAACAACCACGGATAATACAATACACCATAGGGCGTACAGTCAGTACACAGGGAACATATACATGAATGTCACAATATCACCTTCCAGTAACCAGGCACCATCACACACACTCACACACACCCACAACTCTTACCCCCTCACACAGACACTTGCACACAAATCTCTCCCCTGCCAAATACCCACACACTGCCCCCCACCGCCACCGCCGCCACCACCACCACCACCACCACGCTCACCCACCCACACAAAAATCTCTCCCCCCACTCCTCCCAGATACACACAGACCTCCCTCCCACCTCTCACACACACACACGCGCCCACAAATCTCCCCCTCCCACACGAAAATCTTAATGCGTCCCCTCCCACAGACACACACCTTCCCCCCCCCTCTCACACACACACACACACCTCATGTACGTATTACACCTCTCACTCTTAAGAAAAAAAATCTCCGATAAACAGCAAAAAGACATTTGACTTCAATAAGCGCTGTTCTGTCCCCCGCTATCCATCCCCCCGGTTGGGGTCTGAAGGTTAATGAGATTGTACGGAAGAGCTGGTTAAGCTGAGGCAGTTTGTGACAGTAACAAATCCGCTGTTGGCAACGCTTTACTGAGACAGGAGCACCCCAGGCAATTGGTCTCCATTTATCACAGGCCGGGTTCCTGAATAATGACACCATAATTAACAGCAAAATTAACAAGTATTAGATCAAAAAATTAACAGGCTCCAAACCAAGCTGAGAATTCCACACAGCCCACCTACACCCACCTAGAATATTGGAATGGCATGTGCGCTCTCTCTCTCTCTCTCGCTCTCTCCTCTCTTTCTCTGGAGGGACACATCCTGGTCACCTAATTCCGGCAAGTATTAGGCACAGGTTGGCAAAGGCTTGGTGGGTGGGGGGGTGGAGGGGAGCCCAGAGTGCGCGATGGGGGTAACTGCTGGAGTCTAACCAGCCAATACCGCACAGCTTGCCATTGATAGCACTGTCTGGCAAGCTTTCCCGCTGCTTGTCCAGCGAGGACCACCCTACCCGTTGGAGCTTTGGCCGGCGGGGTTAGTTAACAGGAGCTGAGTGGGATGATTCCCTGCCCCTAGTGACTGGTCTCTCTGCCCTTCCGAGTCCTGCTGAGGAGCCGGGCCGGGCCGGGCCGGGCCGGGCTGTCACCAGCAGTGAATTAACACATTGGAAAGTCTCCACCACCTTGTTGCAGAGTGTGATTAATTCACGCCCATCCACATCGACACCCAGGGCAAGGGGCAGGTTCTACAGGACAGGCCTTTTCTGGAAAGGGAGGTGTGGGGTGGGGGGGAAAGAGAGAGATGTTTAAAAAAAAAGTGGGGGGGGGGGGTGGGGAGGGGGAAGTGATAGGAAGGTTCAATGTCATCACCGACACGGACATTGCAGGTTAAACAAAGAAAGGAACGGCGATGACTCCAGCAATCAACAGCGGCAGATAATTACCATCACAGAGAGTGGAGGGTACAGGGCGACACACATTGCCTCAGTCAAAGCGTGTGAATAGGCAATACTGAAGCCCAATTATACACTGTATAATGAGACAACCGTCGCATGCAGGACACAGAGCTCGGAGACAGGGAACGTTACTGCTTTGCTCAAGGTCACTCCAGCAACCCAACCAGCAGTACTTCAGCAATTACACAGCCCCGCGGATGACAACCGAGGATGTTTTATTCATGCTCCTTAACAGTATTAAGAGAGGAGAGAGAGAGAGAGAGAGAGAGAGAGAGAGAGAAAAAAAAGCCACAGGAATGGTTTTAAAGCCATTTTGATGCAATCATCCAGCTCAACGACTTGGCTGCAAATTGCTCACTGGAATCAATTTTAACAGGAGACGCGGACACACAAAATGACAGCGCTCCCGTTCAATCGCATTAACACCTGCAGGTCAGCACTCGCTCGCTAGCTCTTGGCAAAATGGTTGCTTTTATGGGGTAGGGGGGGGGAGGGGGGGGGGGTGGGAAGGGGAAACAACATGTAGAGAGAGTCAACAGATGTGTTTCACCCGTCAGTATTTTATTGGGAACATTAATTGCTCCCTCCGCTATATAAAAAAAAATCGATCATTCACTCCAAGCTGTTGGCGGAGAACGTCGCTGTGCGCAAACCGGCTGCTGAGTTTGCCCAAGAAACACACAGTTACTACGCTTTACAGTGAAATCTTGGGAAGTGCTTTGCGAGCTTTCCCGACGTCCTCCCGACGTGAAAAGCGCTGCATATTATGACCATCATCCTCAGCGCCACACACACACGCACAAGCACACACTCACATGTGTGCATACATGCACAGACTCACGCACACATACACACACACACACACACCGCTGTAATATTTCAAACTGTTGACACTGAGCCCTGCCAGTTGACGTTAAATAGAGGAGCTTTAATTGAGTGTGATATGCGACATGTTTACAGCCCGACAAATTAATGCACATCAAACCATTAAATTATAAAACTCCTTCCTGAGCTGCACTAATTATATGCTAATGATGTTCTGATCTCGCCCACGTCACTGGGCTGTGTCGTGCTCAGCAATAACACGCGGATGTGGGAGCTGGGGTTTGATCTCAAGTGTGTGAACACTGCACCCCAAAGTCATTCGGATGAACCACACACGTACGGGTTCAGTCGAATCGATTAACATAGCAAAGGGCACAGCGCTTGTTTAAAATAATCTGCCTGAGTTCTGGCAGCGGCAATGTCCCAGACTTCTCTCTCTCTCTCTGTGTCCCAAACACGGTCATTAAATCAGTTTCCGGGGATACTGATCCCTTCAATAAATAAATAAGTAAATAAATTATAACACTCACATTGCTGTGCGCAATTGGCTGCTGCATTTCGGCCATAAAATACGCAATAGACGTTACAGTCTATTGGTCTCCACGGAATCTCTAACAGAATCTCAACTCCAAGGATGATATCTCTCACAGTGTAGCACTCCCCCAAACCCCCCCCACCCCTACCCCACTCCGCCAAACTGGAGCCTCAGTTTAGACTGTGAGCCCAGACCCTAACCCCGAACTTCACGCTTGAACCTACAACCTTCTGACCTTCTCAAGAGAAATAGCAGCAGGAGCAGCGATGGGGGGTTTATGGGGGGGGGGGGGGTGCTTGGGAGTGGGTTAAACTGCACCGCTCGCAGGCACAGAAACAGACCCGATTTCCCCCTCTCCCCCATCCCCTCCCCACCGCACCCCCCACCCCCCCTACCCCCCAAACCCAACTGCCATTCCCTTTCCAGCGAAAACCAATTTCAGTGTTACAGCTGCGGCTTTGACACCAGGTAACTCAGCGAGGCAGAGGGTCACACCGGACCCTTCACACTCGGTGGCTCAGGGTCTAACGCCAGCTCAGCCCTCTGTACCCGGGGCCAACGGGGAGGCCAAATGAATGGCTTCCAAGGACATCAAAGGAACTCCATCGCCCTCCGCTGGCAGACAGCGGGTAGTGCGGGAAAGCCGCCCATCTCCTGCCTTTACCCTTCAGACCCATCACCAAAAGCAAATCCCTCAGACCCCGAACTCGGTTAGCGCTCCTCGGTCCCGGTGCGTAGAGAGGGAGGTAGGGAGGGGATGGTGAGAGAGAAAGAGAGAGAAACTCCAACTCTCTTTTCGAATAGCCCCTGAGCCAGGCTGACACACGTGACACGCATGTGTGGGGCCCCTGTTACCTGTGATATTGTGCCTGGAGAAACTGGAATTCTTCCTTAATCCGATCCAGAGTCTCCGGGAAGGTGAGCTTCACCGGCTGAGACGCAGCGGAGGGAGTGGCGGACTGCGGCACCTGGGGAAAGGAGGACAAGATTTGATTGGATTACGGTCTGGAACACTCTCCCTCCATCTCTGTCTCAGCCTTGTCCCTTCCTTCCCCATCTTCCAAGTCGTGCCTGAAGACCCTTCCCTTTCAACCGTGCCTACGGTCACCTCCCCCCCACCGCCAGGCTCGGTGTCTGGGACCGTGCCCTGCGCGAGGGGGCGCTGCGTAAATGCAAGTTGTCGTTGTCGTCGTTAGTGGCGGTTGAATCGTAATCAGTATATTTTTTTAAAAAAAGGGGTTTGGCAGCCAATCAATACATAAAAACAAACCGCCGCAGCTTACCCCTCACCCTCCAGATGTGGCAAAATATATATATATATGTGTATATATAAATCTGCCCCCAGCCCCTCCCGCAGTGTGTTTGGGTTGAACCAGACAAACCTGGCGCGGCTGCGGCAGGAACACAGTGCATCACATCACCCGCTTCAATTCATTCAGAGACGCTCACTCGCTGCTGCCCTGAATGCTTCGACCTCCTGCGCTCAGTGAGTGCGTGTGTGAGTGCATGTGTGTGCGTGTGTGAGTGTGTGTGCGTGTGTGAGTGTGTGTGTGAGTGCATGAGTGCGTGTGTGAGTGCGCGTGCGTGAGTGAGTGCGTGTGTATGTGTGTGTGAGTGTGTGTGTGAGTGCGTGTGTGTGAGTGCGTGTGTGTGAGTGCGTGTGAGTGTGTGTGTGAGTGCGTGTGTGTGAGTGCGTGTGTGTGTGTGTGTGAGTGCGTGTGCGTGTGCGTGTGTGTGAGTGCGTGTGTGTGTGCGCCCAAACCTTCCTCCATTATCAATCGTGTTGCTTAAGGGTGAAACGCAGGAGGAGGGGAGACCCCACAGACTTTATTTATCCTGCGCTAGTCCCACGCTTTAAAAAGTTGCACGTCGCAGTTTTTGTCAGGCGCTTGGGGTCTGATCCCCTGTGGTGGGGGTGGTGGTGGAGGGGGGTGGGGGGGGGAGGGGGGTGGTGCGGAGGGGAGTGGGGGGGAGGCTGCAGAAGAATGGTTGCTGCAGGGCTGGTGAGGAAGGGAGAGAGAGAGAGAGAGAGAGAGAGAGAGCGGGGGAGCTACCTGCAGTGAAACCTTGGCCCAGCGTCACCGAGTGGAACTAGAACAACAACAACGTGTATTCATACAGCACCCCCTCGTGCAGGATAGCGCCCCAGAGCACTGCAGATCACGTTTGCTGCAAGGCTAGGGAGTGAGCGAGCGAGCGAGGGAGAAAGCGAGCGAGGGAGAATAGCGAGCGAGGGAGAGAGAACAGCGAGCGAGGGAGAACAGCGAGCGAGGGAGAACAGCGAGCGAGGGAGAACAGCAAGCGAGGGAGGGAGAACAGCGAGCGAGGGAGAACAGGGAGCGAGGGAGAACAGCAAGCGAGGGAGAACAGGGAGCGAGGGAGAACAGCGAGCGAGGGAGAACAGGGAGCGAGGGAGAACAGCGAGCGAGGGAGGGAGAACAGCAAGCGAGGGAGGAAGAACAGCGAGCGAGGGAGGAAGAACAGCGAGGGAGAACAGCGAGCGAGGGAGAACAGCGAGCGAGGGAGAACAGCGAGCGAGGGAGAACAGCGAGCGAGGGAGAACAGCGAGCGAGGGAGGGAGAACAGCGAGCGAGGGAGGGAGAACAGCGAGCGAGGGAGGGAGAACAGCGAGCGAGGGAGGGAGAACAGCGAGCGAGGGAGGGAGAACAGCGAGCGAGGGAGGAAGAACAGCGAGCGAGGGAGGAAGAACAGCGAGGGAGAACAGCGAGCGAGGGAGAACAGCGAGGGAGAACAGCGAGCGAGGGAGGGAGAACAGCGAGCGAGGGAGAACAGCGAGCGAGGGAGAACAGCGAGCGAGGGAGGGAGAACAGCGAGCGAGGGAGAACAGCGAGCGAGGGAGGAAGAACAGCGAGCGAGGGAGAACAGCGAGCGAGGGAGAACAGCGAGCGAGGGAGAACAGCGAGCGAGGGAGGAAGAACAGCGAGGGAGGGAGAACAGCGAGCGAGGGAGAACAGCGAGCGAGGGAGGAAGAACAGCGAGCGAGGGAGGAAGAACAGCGAGCGAGGGAGAACAGCGAGCGAGGGAGAACAGCGAGCGAGGGAGAACAGCGAGCAAGGGAGAACAGCAAGCGAGGGAGGAAGAACAGCGAGCGAGGGAGGGAGAACAGGGAGCGAGGGAGAACAGCGAGCGAGGGAGAACAGGGAGCGAAGGAGAACAGCGAGCGAGGAAGAACAGCGAGCGAGGGAGGGAGAACAGCGAGCGAGGGAGGAAGAACAGCGAGCGAGGGAGGAAGAACAGCGAGCGAGGGAGGAAGAACAGCGAGGGAGGGAGAACAGCGAGCGAGGGAGAACAGCGAGCGAGGGAGAACAGCGAGCGAGGGAGAACAGCGAGCGAGGGAGAACAGCGAGGGAGGGAGAACAGCGAGCGAGGGAGAACAGCGAGGGAGGGAGAACAGCGAGCGAGGGAGGAAGAACAGCGAGCGAGGGAGGAAGAACAGCGAGGGAGGGAGAACAGCGAGCGAGGAAGAACAGCGAGCGAGGGAGGAAGAACAGCGAGCGAGGGAGGAAGAATAGCGAGCGAGGGAGGAAGAACAGCGAGGGAGAACAGCGAGCGAGGGAGGAAGAACAGCGAGGGAGAACAGCGAGCGAGGGAGAACAGCGAGCGAGGGAGAACAGCGAGCGAGGGAGGAAGAACAGCGAGGGAGAACAGCGAGCGAGGGAGAACAGCGAGCGAGGGAGGAAGAACAGCGAGCGAGGGAGGGAGAACAGCGAGCGAGGGAGAACAGCGAGCGAGGGAGAACAGCGAGCGAGGGAGAACAGCGAGCGAGGGAGAACAGCGAGCGAGGGAGGAAGAACAGCGAGCGAGGGAGAACAGCGAGCGAGGGAGGGAGAACAGCGAGCGAGGGAGAACAGCGAGCGAGGGAGAACAGCGAGCGAGGAGAGAACAGCGAGCGAGGGAGAAGAACAGCGAGCGAGGGAGAACAGCGAGCGAGGGAGAACAGCGAGCGAGGGAGAACAGCGAGCGAGGGAGAACAGCGAGCGAGGTACCTACAACGCAACCCTGAAATATTGTGACACCAACACAGCTGTGTGGCTGTGTATAATGTAATCCCGCGGCACAAACTGGCTTCAAACACGGCTGACCTAGATTTGACGCGGGAGAAATTGCTTTTTTTTAAAAGAATTCCGCGACGAAGCGTTGTTTTAGGAGGGAACGTTGGGGGAGAGACACAGCCTCAACTTCCCATTCTTCTTTGGATCCTGTGTGGGGGGTTTTTTTTTCTCTTTTCTTTTAATATGTAGTCATACATTATAAAAAAATAGGATTATTCACCCACCAGACATAAAGAGTCGATTCACTTTACCGTACATTCTGCGAAGCGCTTTGAGGCGTCTCGGAAGACGTGATAAGGCGCCGTTATCAAAACAGGCTGATATTTTATAGGATTATATTATTTGGAAACAGGAACAGGAGGAGGTCATTCAGCCCATCGAGCCTGTTCCGCCATTCTTTTAGATGATGGCCGATCTGTACCTCAACACCAATTACCCGCCTTTGCCACATAATCCCATTCAGAACCCTTTTGCCCCACTTAACCCTTTCTGAACAGCCGCAGTCACAACAACAACATATTTAGCTTCACTGTGCTCCTAACCCCACCCCACCCCACCCCACCCCACCCCACCCCTCTACAGGGAGAAGCCAGAAAATAGAGCTTCAGTCTTCACCTCAAATAAAACTTGAAAGCTGAACGCAGCAGCTGACGATTGACATGATGGGCAGCAGTGTCTATCCTCTGTACTGTACACGTGTTTTTTTAAGTCACAATGGCCCTCCTCACTCCCCTATGTTTCCTGTCCCACATTATAATAATAATAATCCTTGCATTTGATCA